GCCTATTTTTCATTCAATATTCATTTTGCTTTCAAGAACACTTATTGTGCTCAATTGTATTCATTTTTGAGTGTTCTTTTCTTTGTTCTAGAATTGTGCAAACAATCTATCTTGTGAGGATTTCCTTGTAAGTTTGCAAAATTTGTATTGTTCTCTTTGGGAGAGAGTGTTCTCAAGAATTTGGGGTATTATTCTTGAGGGTTTGTAAGGTTACTCTTTGTCCTCAAAAGAAAGACAAATTAGTGAATTTTTGGAAAATCCTTAGTGTGGATAGCTAAGGTAGTGGACGTAGACTCTGGTTGATAAAGTCGAACCATTCTAAATCGATGTGCAATTACTTTCAATTTTCTGCAAAAGCTTCCACCAAAATTTTAATTGCAAATTCACCCCCCTCTTGGCCGATTCCGCCAATCGATTAACTCAACAGGGTTCTAGGTGCTAAAAAATTATGGCTAATACCATTAGAATTACAAAACTCAGTAAATCCAAGATTTTCAAATTCAGTGCCATGATCACTCCTAACACTAGTCATGGAGTAACCTTTTTTATTTTGGATTACTTTTGAAAATGTGATGAATTTTTCTAATGCTTCATCTTTAGTACTTAAGAATAGAACCCAAGTATATCTAGAATAGTCATCTACCAAGACAAATGCATATTGTTTTCCACCCAAGCTAGTGGTCCTAAATGGCCCAAAAAGATCTAAATTGATCAATTGTAAAACTCTACTAGTTGATACATCATTAATGGATTTAAAAGAAACTCGCTTTTGTTTTCCTTTAGCACAAACATCACAAATTTTATCATTATCAAATTTTAGTTTAGGCAACCCTCATACTAAATCTCCTTGAATTAGTTGTTGTAAAACACTCATGCTAGCATGTCCTAGTCTCCTATGCCATAACCAACTATCATGCTCGTCCTTAACAACTAGGCATAAATTAGTCATATCTATAGAATCTAAATGAACCATGTATATGTTTCCTATTCTATTACCAACAAGCATAATCCGATTAGATGCAATGTCAACAACTTTACAACCACTAGTCTCAAACATGACATTGAATCCCTTATCACATAATTAACTAATACTCAATAGATTATGCTTTAATCCATTCACATATAATACATTTTTAATTTGTATGGAAGATGTATTACCTATAGTATCTATACCTTCAATGTGACCTTTTGAATTATCACCAAAAGTCATCCCTCCTCCATTTTTGGCGTTAAGCTCTATGAAACGACTATTGTCTCCGGTCATGTATCTTGAGCATCCACTATCAAGATACCATGAGTTTGAATTTGTTTCCCGTGCCTTGTAGCAATGCTCATTTTCCTACAAACATAGATTCAATTTTGATTTTTGGTACCCAAGTTCTTTTGGGTCCATATTCATTAGTTTCCAAAATCCTAGTCCTCTTAGGTATCTATTTGTGTAGGATATCCTTATCTTTAGTAGTAATGAGTCCTTTAGGAACCCATATACTTCTAATGATTTTATTATTTGAGGTTCTTTGGGGACCTCTATGATTGTAGCTTTTAAAACTTTTTCTAACAAAGTTGATTTTTGAACTTTCTCCATTTTCAAAATGTTTTGGATCAACTTTATTAAAAGAAGCTTTAAGATCATCAATTTTCTTTTGATGATCGTCATTTACTCTTGAAAGTAAGTTATGAAAATCGATATTTTTCTTTTCAAATTCATCTAATTTAATTTGCAATTCTTTGATCTTACTTTCAAGATCATTGTTGGTTTTGGACAAAAGACTATTTTCATTTTTCAATTTTGAAATATCATTTTTGTATTTTGAAAATAAATTCTTATAATCCGAAGCCAACCCATTATAATCCTCTAATAACTCATCATAAGATAAATAATCTAAGTCAAATGAGTTAGAGGTTACCTTAGAGTTTTTCCCGATGGCCATTAAGCACAAGTTTGCAACTTTTTGTTCCTCTTCATCGGAACCTTCTTCATCGCTCCATGTAGCCACATGAGCCTTGTATTTATTCTTTGATTGACCCTTCTTCTTCAATTGTGGGCAATCATATTTGACATGCCCAGACATTTTGCATTCATAGTAATGATCAGGTCGTTCTCTTTTGGTTCATTCTTGAAGCCTTCATTTCATTTGATTTTTCTTCCTCAGTTGGACCTCATTAATTTTCTGAACCGTTTAACAAATAATGACATCTCCTCGTCATCGTCATCTTCACCCGAATCACTCTCATCTCTTGTGGATTTGAGAGCAACTCCCACATTCTTCTTTTTTTCCGTCTCTTTCTTTGGCTCGTCTTTTTTCTCGAGGTCTTCTTCTTCTTTAAGCATCATTTCATGCGTGAGGAGAGAACCAATAAGCTCATCGAGTGTTAAAGATTTAAATTTTTAGCCTCGATGATCGCCATCTTCTTTGATTGCCAAGATTTTGGAAGAGAGTAAACTAACTTCTTAACGAGCTTGTCATTTGGAATGATTTCTCTATACGATTTGAGACCATTGACAATCGTGGAGAATCTATCCGTCATAACTTTGATATCTTCATCCGGTTTCATATTGAAATTTTCATATCTATGAGTTATAAGACTAATTTTATATTCTTTTACCTCATTTGTGCCTTCATGAATGACTTGTAGTTTATCCCATATCTCCTTGGTGGTTGTACAAGATAAAACTCTTCCGTATTCATCCGGTCCAAGAGTACAAAAAATAATATGGATTGCTTTGGAGTTGAGCTGGAACATTCTTGTCTCTCCTTCACTCCACAATCTTGGATGAGTGAAAGGTTTGATATATACGTCTTCTATGATATTTCATGCTCCCATGTCACTTGCTTGAATGAAGTATATCATTTTATTCTTCCAATAAGCATAATTAGCTCCATTGAAGAAATGAGGCTTGTTGACGGGTAATGAATCAAGACCGAAGTTAGAGTTTGAAGTGGAGGCCATTGATGACTTGATTATCGATGTAACTCTTCCTGAATCGACTCAAGAGGCGATTAAACCTTCAAATAAATGAGGCACTGATACCAATTGTTGAATTAATCAGTCGAGGAATCGGCCAAGAGGGGATGAATTGGCAATACAATTTTCGGTGGAAGCTTTTGCAGAAAATGAAAAATATTTGCACAGCGATTTAGAGTGGTTCGACTTTCTCAACCAAAGTCTACGTCCACTACCTTACCTATCCACACTAAGGATTTTCCACAAATTCACTAATTTGTCTTTCTTTTGAGGACAAAGGGTAACCTTACAACTCCCTCAAGAATTATAACCCAAATTCTTGAGAACACTCTCTCCCAAAGAGAAATATACAAATTTTGCAAACTTACAGAAATTTCTCACATGGCAAAGTGTTTGCACAATTCTAGAATAAGAAAAGAACACTCAAAGATGATTACAAATGAGCACAAATTGTGTTCTTGAAAGCAAATATGAATATTGAAGGAAAATTGGCTTGAATTGCACAAACTTGGTGTTTGATGCTTTCTCTCTTGTTTCTCAATGACCTCTTATTGATTAATGGCTTTAGAACTTGTTTAAATACACCTTGGAATGATTCTAGCCGTTGGAAACCATTTGGGTGATGTTGGAGCCGTTGTAGTGTGAAAATCCACTAAAAATTGTCTGTTGGGAGCGTATGGTATCAGTACCATTCCATAGGGCATCAGTAACTTAGTGTAAAATTCAAATATTTAGACCGTTAAATGACTGGGGGTATCGATACCAACCATAGGGTACCGGTACCATTCGAGCATTTCTGGTTTTTCCGTGAATCCCTTCAATTAAAAATAATTTTTGGCTCGATTGAGGCTCGAAATACTTTGTAATATTTGTTTTAGAAATTTTTTGAGATTAAAACATAATTTTACACTTTAAGTAAGGATTGAAATTAAACTTTGAAAAACTTGGAGTTATATTCGAACAATTGAATTGAATATACTTTTGAAAATGATTTGTAAAATCTTAAAATTTATTTATACTTAATTTGTTATATCGAAACATCAAAATATTTTCAACAAAGAAGAAGAAGAAAAAGAATGGGTTAACGAGAGTTAAGCACCACGTCAGCTAAAACTAACGGGATGTAGCGACAAAGATCTTATTGAAAATGAACTAAAGTTTGATGATTGTATTGTAAGTTTCAAAAGTTTGGTAACCAAAATGCAAATGCCCTAAAAGTTTGGAGACTATTTATATATTTTAACCTTTTTATATTTATAGATAGTGGTCCGAAATCTCAGCTCAAGCTCGGTTCATTAAACCGAAGAATGTATTAAAAAAAAAGGTAAATTGTATGTTTAATATATAAACTATTACTTTTATTTAGTTTCAGTATCTAGATTTTATTTTATTTTAAAATCATACCTAATGTGTAATTTATGTTTCAATTTGGTACCCACCGTTAAAAACATAACGATGTTGTTGATGTGTCACTATAAGATAATATCATGTCATTACTGAAAAAATGTCATGCCAATAATTCTGTTAAATTTTTAACAATAGGGTACCAAATCTAAATTACACGTTAGGTATAGTTTTGAAAAAAATAAAATATAAGTACCAAAATGAAGTAAAAATAATAGTTTAGATACTAACATGTAATTTACCCTACAAAAGTAAAGTCGAACAATGGTTAATAAATTATTAAAATAAAAATTTTATATTAAAAAATTTGAAATTGTAAAATAGATATTAAATTTTAGATTTTATTAGGAAGATGACATGACATTGAAAATAATAAATAATATTTTATTTGTTTTTTAATTGTAGTTAAAATTTTTAAAAAATAAATTAAATTTAAACTTTTTGAAGGTTTAATGGGAATTTCTTAAAAAAATTAAGTGAATTTAGTTAAAAATATTTTTAAAAAATTAAAAAATAATGAGAATTTTAAAATTTTTGAAAGGGTTAAATTAGAACTTTTAAAAAAAATTGAAAGACCAAATGTTAAATTAGAATTTTAACCGTCCGCCTTTGCTTGCTCGGGTAACAGCTACACCCCCATTGCTCTCAAAACTCCCAAATCAACCTTCCAAAATAGCGCCTTTTTTCTCCGCCGATGTCCTCTCACTCGGCGGCCTCCGCCTCCGCCTTCACCGCCAAAACCATTACCATAGACTCCACCCAACTCTACCTCGCTGCGACAAACTCCTCCGATTCCACCCTTTATTTCCCCCCAATCCCCTCCTCTTTCTATCCCTCTAAACTCATCCCTAACACCCGCTTCATTATCGACTCCTTCCGCCACAACACCACCACCACTTTCTCCGCCGCCTACTTCCTCTCCCACTTCCACTCTGACCACTACTCTGGTCTATCCCCTTCCTGGTCCAAAGGCATCATCTTTTGTTCCCACCTCACTTCCCTCCTCCTCATCCAAATCCTTAAAATACTTCCCCATTTCATCTTCCCGTTACCTCTAAACGACCCCGTTGCGATAGACGGCTGTGAGGTCGTTCTCATTGACGCTAATCATTGCCCTGGTGCTGTCCAGTTCTTATTCAAAGTTCCCACAAAAAATGGGAGCTTTGAAAGGTATGTGCACACCGGCGATTGTCGTTATTGTAGCTCAATGAAATTGAATAGTTATTTGAAGGAATTTTTTGGTTGCGATGCTATTTTTTTAGATACAACTTATTGTAATCCAAAATTCGTGTTTCCTTCTCAAGAAGAATGTGTTGATTACGTGGTTAGTGTGGTAGATATGATAGGGAAGGAGTTTAAGGGAAAAAGGGTTTTGTTTCTTGTTGCCACTTATGTTGTTGGAAAAGAGAAGATATTGGTTGAGGTTGCTCGGCGATGTAAGAAGAAGATATTTGTTGATGGGAGGAAAATGGAGATTTTGAATGTTTTGGGGTATGGGGAAGATGAAGTTTTTACCGTAGATGAGAGTGAGAGTGATGTTCATGTCGTTGGTTGGAATGTATTAGGCGAGACTTGGCCGTATTTTCGGCCGAATTTTGTGAAAATGAAAGATATTATGGTGGAAAAAGGGTATGAGAAGGTTGTTGGTTTTGTGCCAACTGGGTGGACTTATGAAATCAAACGGAATAAATTTGCTGTGAGATCAAATGATTCAGTCGAGATACATCTAGTCCCTTACAGTGAGCATTCTAATTATGATGAGCTTAGAGAATATGTTAAGTTTTTGAAACCCAAGAAGGTTATTCCTACTGTTGGTATGGACATTGAGAAGCTTGACAGTGAGAATGCTGATAAATTGAGAAAACACTTTGCTGGCCTGGTTGATGAAATGGCTAATAAAAAGGATTTCCTGATGGGTTTTCATTGTGGCAATTATGAAAGTGTAGAAAACATTGAAATTGATGCTAGTCCAGTCTTGAATGAGGAAAAGGACATGGAGAGAAAGCAAAATATTTTGGAAATGAGAAATTTTAGGAGTAATGATGTAGATGTTATTTTGAATGATTCATCTTCTGTGCACAAACCTGATTTACAAGATTCAGCAATACAGGGTGAGGAGGAAAGAGAGAGAATAGTTGAGGAATTAGGAGACTCTCTGCCCAAATGGGTTACCAGGGATCAGATATTAAATTTGATTAGCATCTCCAGATGGAATATTGTTGAAGCAGTTTCTAATTTTTATGAACATGAAAATGAGTTATATGAACAATTCTCTGCTTTTAGAACTTCTGATTCTGCTTCTCAGGCCAGTTCATCTAACAACTCTGTCTCACTTCTAAATTCAGGGCCTTTTAGAAGTAGCACTGATGAAAGTTTAAGCCTTCATTTAAGTCAAGTCATCAAGCCTTCTAGTTCTAAACTTTCAGTTCGGAGCAACATATCTCCTGTCAAAAGAAAGAAAAACACCGAAAACAGGTCAAATAAGAAAGTCAAAAGTAACCCAAAATTGAAATCTAGCGAGTCAAAGCAACCTACGATAACTAGCTTCTTTGGTAAAGTTTCGGTTGATGCCTCTAAAGGTGGTAGGACTGGTCCGCAAATTGAGGAATGCCCCAAAGGTGAAAGTACTTTGTCTACTGACTTGACTAAATCATATTTAGAGAAAATCGACCAGTTTATTCAGATAATAAATGCCAATGAATCGTCAAGAGATTATGTGGTCACCTTACTTGAGAAGGCCCAAGGAGATATCAACAAGGCACTGGATATATATTACAGTAATCCCGATGTGAAGCTCGATGAGAATACAGAAAATATTATAGTTTCCAATAAATCAGCTCAGGTCCCCTGCTGTACTAATGATTGTCCTGTAACTCCTGTTAGCAAGAACAAACATGCACCAGAGGAATCAAGATGTATTACCTATTTATCTTTGCAGGGACAACCAGTGGAAAATGTTGACACAACTCTTGTATCATTGCCTCCTGATAAATATAAACCTATAGAGCATGGTTGGTGTTATGAAGTTGTTTTAATTTACCATTTTCTTAACATTGTATCTTGAAACTCTTCTTTCTAATTCTGTAGTATGGTAGTATCTATGTAGAAGTTATTTTATTGGTTATAATTGTGGGACATTTTTTTAAAGCTATTGCCTTATTGCATCTTTGGTGTCTCTTTTTGAGGCAAATTCATAGAACATCTCTGCTTATTCATGAAATTTTGAAACTCCTACTGAGATGTGTATGCAGCATGCTGGAGATCTGGTCAGCTTGCTCCATATGTCCATCTTGCACGGACTTTCGACCTTGTTGGCAGTCAAAATGGAAAGATTAAAGCTACTTCTATGCTTTGCAATATGTTTAGGAGGTTGGTAAAATTGTATCTTGCTATTTTGTATGTATTTCTTGGTTGTCAAATCAAAGTTTACATTGCATTACCTAAAACTGATCGCCAACCTTTTTTTCCTTTATGGCTTCTTTCAACCAGTTTGCTGGCCTTGTCCCCCGAGGATGTGCTTCCTGCTGTGTATCTGTGCACCCATAAAATTGCTGCTGACCATGAAAATATTGTTAGTCCACTTCACCAATTCTCCTGTCCTTATCTTCCTTTTTGTTGTTTTACACAGTAGTTAATATTTACTCTTTATTCCTTAAAGATAAATTTCCCTTCAATTTCTATATTTTAGATTGCTTAACATAAGAAATAGAATATTAAGAGAGATTAGCAGAAAAAGAAAAAAAAGATGCATTCATGCTGTAGTAATGATGCAGGAATTGAATATTGGCGGAAGCTTGGTTACATCCGCACTGGAAGAAGCTTGCGGGACTAACCGTTCGAAAATAAGGGATATGTACAATGACATGGGTGATCTTGGTAGAAGCAGATAGTTTCAGTCGTAAATTTCCATTTTCAGTTACTTTTTACCCATAATTACTTTTGGGGAGTCTTCTTAACATCTACATTTTGTCTAAGGTGATGTTGCACAAGCATGCCGGAAAACCCAAACTCTGCTTGCTACTCCACCATCACTACTAATTAGGGACGTATATTCTGTGCTTAGGAAGATAAGGTATGATCAGCCCAGTCTGGATCCTACAACAGTAAATGATTATGACCGTACTGTAATATTGAGTCCACGACCAGACACTGATTTGTTTCCAGAAACAAGGAAACTATGAGTGTTACGTGTAACATTAATTTGCAGTACTTGAAATAATTGGTTGATACCTGGGTTTTGGTGGTAAGAAATTCACTGAGAACTTGTTACAATATATTTTTCTTCGTAAGATTAAGGAATGTTTTCTTGCTCAAAAATGTGTTAGAAGCAGAATGCTATTACCCTCAGCTGACGATAGGCAAAGGATTGATCCCCAGTGATTATATCATGGTATAAAATATTTAATGGTTCGAATAATTATTCATGAGCACTTGAGTGCTTGATGCATATCCTTGTGCCTAGGGATTCATGCTCTCAAACAAGCCTTTGACATAGCTTCTCTTTTTTCTTCTTCCCGAATAAGATAAATTCAGTCCTTACCATTTGATTAATATAGCTGAGTAAGGTAACACGCATATCATTTTGTTTTGTATTATTTTGGTCCTTGTCATCTATATTCTATTTGTCTCATTTTCCTCATATAGTTGTTATCAGTGTACAAACGGGCAGTGGCAGTACCATCCGGAAGAAAAACCTCATTGTGAGTCTTATACGTTCATGTAGAGAGAAAGAGATGAAGTTTCTGGTTAGAACTTTGGTAAGATTCGAAAAATTATCCTTTTTTTGTATGCATCTTATGTAGGCAATTCTTGATTTTATTTATGTAATTACGTGAATCTTATATGTAAGTATTTTTAATTGGTGATATTTTTTTCTGAAAACATGGATAATGAGTCTCTTTTCCTCCTTCCGCCAGTAGGTTCTTTCCTTTGGGAATAGGACTACTATGAGGGAGGTTTTTAATGAGGCCTCCTACTTCTATCAAATTTTTTCCCCAATTGATACATCTTGCATGGTAGAAGTGATCAAAACAAACACTTCTTTGTGCTGTTATTTTTTAATGATTGGTTATGATTGCTATCGGGATGGTAGTAGAATTATCAACCTTCACATGCCTGATAAAAATGTTTTTTAGGAATTTTCGTGGAGGATTGTTAAGAGATTTTAATTTGTACATTTGTGTTAAACTTCATGGTAAATGAAGGTTTCTCTGTGGCTCAGTTCTTAATTTACTGTGTCAGCAATTGAGCATTGACTTGCATTACAATGTCTTCTGTTTCAAAATCATGGCACATACAGGTCAGGAATTTGCGAATAGGAGCAATGATGAAGACGGTTCTTCCTGCATTGGCTCAAGCAGTTGTCATGAATTCCTCTCTTAATCTTTATCATGAAGGGACAGCTGATAGTCTAAAAGAGAAGCTTCAGGTTCGATGCCAATCGTAAGCTAATTAATTAATTTTTTTGAAGAGTATGAAATAGTAGATCTCTTCATGAAGACTTGAAGTTTTACATCATTATGTATGAGAAGTACAAAACTAATGAGTGCATTAAACTACTCCCCTACCAAAATAAAATAAAAAATAAAATAAAAACGGGTATAATGGATCTGTTGATGTTTGTGTTGTTTGGATCTAATATCCATTATCTGCGAAGGATCTTGCTACCAAAGCATCTATTAGATTTATCTACATATGCATAATACTATTTTCAACATTGCTTGCTTTCCAAGCCTGCAATCATTTGTGCCTGTTTCTGATTTGATCTTTGTATACTTGTCAGGGTATTTCGGCAGCAGTAACTGAAGCATATAATGTACTTCCAAATTTGGTAAGTGATTGTATATTTTATATCAAAGTTCTTCACTGTATATTACTATTTTCTATAAGCTCCCGAATTTCCTTATCCACTTTATGAGATGTTTATATACTCGATATATTTATATATGTGCTAATTGTTTTTGCATGCAAGTATATATGCATTTATTAGCTCTTGGTATCTTTGTTTTCTATAACTTATAAATTTGAGTCTGGTTCATTTGCTTTATAACATGTTGCACATGCCAGTTTGTTGCCCTTCCTTTTCCTCATTCTTCTGAAAACAGCATACGATAGAATATGTTTGTTTGGTGGTACATTTATGCTCATGAAGCATTGTTGACAGGATTTACTTGTTCCTTCACTAATGAAGGAAGGTATTGCGTTTTCATCATCAACCTTGTCGATGGTTCCGGGAATACCTATTAAGCCCATGCTTGCAAAGTATGTTTACATGCTACCCTATTGTTTCTTTTTTGTATATCAAAATGTACTAATGCTATTGCCTATGGGTGGTATTATTCTCCATGATGGTAGAATTACCAATGGGGTTCCAGAAGTACTGAAGTTTTTTCAAAACAAAGCTTTTACATGTGAATATAAGTAAGCTCTTCTATCTCTCTCTCTCTCTTTTTGTGTGTGTGGGTTATTCACATTCCTGAAGTTTAATATATATTATAGTATAAAAGTGTATTATTTGTTATTTTGGGATACTGTTGGAGGGCAGCTCTTGTGGTTTCTTTGCGTCTCTTAGTTTCATAACATATTGGGTATGTCTGAGTGGTTTCCATGTGCATGTAATTTTCAGATATGATGGTCAGCGTGTCCAAATTCACAAATTGGCTGATGGATCAATGCGTGTCTTTTCACGAAATGGAGATGAAACAACATTAAGATTTCCGGATTTAGTTAATACAATTAAGGAGTCTGCTAAGCCTGCTGTCCAAACTTTCGTATTAGATGCGGAGGTGAGATTGTCTAACAGCAAGATGCCTTTTACTTATTTTATGTTGCTAATTTTGTTTCTCATTGTGGCTTCAGGTTGTTGCAATTGATAGGAAGAATGGTCAGAAGCTGATGTCCTTCCAAGAATTATCTTCAAGAGAAAGAGGGAGCAAAGATTCTTTGATCACAGTGGATAAAATAAAGGTTTGCTTTATATTCACTTTGTAAGATTACATGATTAAGTTTACTGTTTTTTATGGAACTTTATAGTGCAAACATCAAACATTTAGCGAATTAAAATTAATCTTATGACATGAACAATTTGCATAGCTGTTTCACTTACCATTATTTAATATACTGGTTTCCTTTGTGCTTTCCTAACTGATGTTAGAGGCTTTTTAATACATAGTTTTCACATTCATTTATCTTCTCTTATAAGTTTAACTTCTTCCCTGTATCCTGAAGTTAAATTTTGATGTTTCTTTCTAATTATCATTGCAACATGCAGGTTAACATTTGCGTATTCGTGTTTGATATCATGTTTGCCAATGGAGAGCAGTAAATATCTTGAACTCTCTTTGAATTTTTCCGAGGTTCTTTTATTTATATACATCTATATACATATGTAGACTAGAAGACCAAGGACAATTTATAACGGTAGTATTTTCTGATTCTTTGAATTAGACAACAGGAGCTTTCCTATGAGCAATAATAAATAAATCTTTGCATGGAATTTAGTGTGTTGAATAAGAATTAGACTATTCCATTTATCAGTTATATATCTTTCCTCAATACCTCTTTAATTCACAAAATACATGCAAGAAGTTCATGTAACTCAGACTTGAGTGTGATTGTCGGATGCAAGTAGCCGAGTATTTGTCTGACATAGGTGTGTTTAATAAAGTTTTTCTATGCATCTGTAGAATCTTTAAAAAGTCATATTCCCATACCCATGTCCAGGTATGCAGTGGATCTTGGTGTTTGGCATGGGTACAGCAAAAATGAAGAATCGGAGTAACATAGAAACTCATTAAATAACAGAAATTTGGCTAGTGATTTTTCTCCTTCAAAGTGTGCATTCTTTAAACACATTTTATTTCTCTGATCTTGTGAGTTCACCTTGACCATAAACATGTTTCCTTACTAAAAAACTTTTGCTTGCACTTATAATTATCCCAACAGTGTGCCATGTTCCAATGTGGTCTAAATCTTGTGTTTTCAACTGCATTTCAAGCTACTTCATTTAAATGAAATACCCTGAGTTTCACACCCCTCTTTTCATAATTTAAAAGGGACTCTATGCTGCTCTGGTTTATTCCTTTACTGAAAGACTTTGCAAGTGCTATCATGTGTCCTTGTGACATATGGCGATTTATGAGCAATTAGTTCAAGAATTCAATCAATGTTTGTAAACTCGTTTCTCAATGTGATAGAGATTGGTTAATCTTGTTGAAATATCCCCATATTTACTTTTGTGTTTTATGTTGAGAAAACTGAAGAATTGGTTGACAGTATTGCCACTAATTTTATGAAAGGGGGAAGATTACGAGTTACTGAAAATTAAGTTCTGGATGCCTATGATACTCTTACTCTTCAGTTTTCTATTTAACACGTTTCCAATGCTTAGTCGGACATGGGTATGGGGAGACAACCCTATTAAGACCTTCCAAATATATAGAAAAACTTAAAAAAGATCGAACATACCCTTGTCGGATGCAAAACCGTATCCAACACACTGTTGAATCCGAGTAATGTAGCTGGTAAATGTAATTCTTTACTCGGTGTTGTCACATGAAGTCTTACAACTTTATCAACCTATGCTGTTATGCTAAAAAAAATCAACCTATATTGTTGTATGTCGATTAATTAAAATCTGGCTATTGTTATAGATAAACATTTTTTGTTCTTTCTGGAATAAAAGAGTGTAGATTGTCATGTAAATGTCAAGCTCTTTGTCTGAAAAATAAACGTTATATTACAATTTTGTCCCTCTTATTTTTGCTGCTGTTTTTTTTTATTTTCCATTCAACTTCAAAAATATGATATACTCTCTTTACAGACTCTTAGATGTTCCTCTGCGCCAAAGAAGGAAACGTATGCCTTTCCCCTCCCACAATTTTTTGGGTTAAGTTCTTTCAAAGCCCCTCTTATCGAAGTCTCACAACCAGTAAATTTAATCCTTTTCCTGTCATGCTTAAAAAAATTAGGTTTGAAGGATTTGTTTCACGATGAGAAGTTGGGACATTTTGAATATGCAAAAGAAATCACTGTAAGACCTCTCGGCTTTGCTTGTTTACAGAACACAATTTTTTAGTTATTAACTCGGATGTGTCAGGTATAGGTATTTATCTTGTCTCTATGACAGGTCTATTTATTATTATTTTTTATTTTTTATGTATTTGGAAGGTACTTGATGGGTCATACCTCCACCCATAACCAAATATGTTTTTGATAAAGATACTTCAAGAAAATGAAGAGTCAGAACAACATAGGACTGATTAGTATTGTCTATGATCTCTTGTTTAATAGGTGGAAGCAGATGATACTTGTTTGACCAGTGAAGCCACATTTAATCGGATAAACTCCTTCCTTGAAGATGCATTGCAGTTTTCATGCGAAGGAATTATGGTTAAATCCTTGGATACTGATGCTGGATATCTTCCGTCAAAGCGAAGTGATTCATGGTTAAAGGTTCTGCGGTTACCAGAATATTTTCATAATTTAACTGTTTAAAAAATAAGAAGATAGCTAAATATTGAATCAAATTGCTTGGTGATCTCTATTAGGTAAAGCGGGACTATGTGGAAGGGTTAAGCGACTCCCTTGATTTAGTCCCGATTGGTGCTTGGCATGGTAATGGAAGAAAAGCAGGATGGTAATGACTATATATATACATACATATGTGTGTGTGTGTGTGTGTGTATTTCCCTTTGCTGTGGTTAAATAATGCTTCATGATGCATTTGAAACTTCTTGAAATTTATAGAGGGAAAGATTCCTCAGTCTATACTCTAGTAACCTTTTGATTTTAAAGGTTCATGAAACTTGATTGGAAACTATCCCCTGCTAAGCTCACTAGGATGGAATCACATATGCAAAACTAATTAGTAGGTAAATATGACCGAATGGCATCAAGAAAATAAATTTAAGCTCCTAGAGACTCTTGGAATCATCTGCACTTCGGCCTCATAAATTAGAACATTCCAGATGTGCTGAAATGATCTTTCTGACATTGGTAAAATTAAATTTTGATATCATTTGATAAATATCCCGTGACCCCTAAGAGAACCGATGTTTTAACAGCTGCAATGTTTAGCAAGCATGTAGAATTGAAGTGAAAGGGGTGATTTGCATTTTATGAAGTATGTTCAGATATTGTCAAAGAAAATGTTATAGGCCATTGAACACAAATTGATAAAATATTCATTTATTATACTGCATTTGAACTTAACCTAGTAACTTAGAACATCCCAAGTTTGCTGAAACAATCTTGGTGGCACTGGTAAGCTTAAAATTTGATATCATTTAATAAATAGCCTTTTATTTGTTGGAGACCCTATGTTCTGATTGCTGATTTGCATTTTATGAAGTATGTTGATATATTACTAAAGAAAATATTATATTATTGAATTTGAATCGCGAAATATTCATTCATTACGCAGCATGCCCTTGCCACATGCTCCCAATGTGAATCCTTTCTGTTTTAAGTCATTCTTCGATGTATGTTACTTGTCTCATGCAGGTATAGTCCGTTCCTCATGGCATGTTACAACCCAGACACTGAAGATTTTCAAAGCGTATGCCGTGTTATGTCTGGATTCTCCGATTCATTTTACAAAGAGGTAAAGTGGAGTGTTGATGATGTTTGTATTTTAGGAAGTGTATTTTTTCTTCATGTTACCAAGGATATGGTGTAAATCTTGCAAGTCTGAGCTAAAACTTGAACGTCATTCTGCTTTATGTGAGAATAATTATGTTTCTGAATTTAAGATCTTTTTGATGTTGGCTTTAGCTAAGATTTTGACGGTGAGCATATCTGCTTTGCAACTTACTGGAGTACAAATTATACAGTTCCTCTAACGATAGTGTAATGATAATGGCGCTGAGATTTGATCTAATGGCCATAACACGGCCAAATAGTGTGCATGTTTCTTGTTCGAATCACTCTTTGATAGCTCCCTCAAGAAACCAAATGTGGCTTCTGGTTTCTTTCTAAAGATCCTACCATTAGTAACCTGTGTCACTCAGACTAGGACGTTAGTGTTAAGTACTACTACACGTCCAACACAGGTACCTTGATAATTTTTTCTCCCAAGTTTTTTTCGTATATTTGGATGATCTTTAACGGTCATTTTCATGCTCATTGTCGGATATGCATTGGTAGCTCGTAACATGTTACATGTTTATCTGCACATATAAGTTCCAATTCTTCATGTTATCCTAAACTCTTAAGTTATTTGATTTTCTTTATCGAATTCAGATGAAAGAGTTCTTTTCCGGAGATAGGATCTTAGCCAAAAAGCCTGCTTACTATCAAACAGCTGAGGTGCCTGATATGTGGTTCACTCCAGAACTTGTTTGGGAAATAAGAGGTGCAGACTTCACTGTATCACCAGTTCATCAGGCTGCGATAGGGTTAGTCCATCCCTCCCGTGGCATCTCAATGAGATTTCCGAGGTTCATCCGCTCGGTGACAGACAGAAATCCTGAGGAATGTAGCACGGCAACAGACATAGCTGAAATGTTTCATTCGCAGACTCGAAAGATGGATGTGACAGTGTAACAATGACCACTTTTTTCAGGTTTGTGTACATATGTTTTCCGTCCAGGTTCTGGTATTGGCTTGGCTGGTGTTTAACCATTTCTGTTTTGTAATTATATTTATCTCTACATTTCAATGTTATATAGTTTAAGTTCGTTTTCAGGTAAAAATCAAATTGCTAATTAAGTTCGACTAAGTTTTTTTTTTCTTTTTAACAATTACTACTTAGGGGAGAGGGAGGCGGAAATGAATTTTGTTCGTAATGGAAATTGAATCCACAACTTAGGAGAAAGGGAAAGTGTCAACTGAGAGCTTTTATCTATCTGTTCAAGAGGTCATTGACAATTTGACTAAGTGTTTTGTTATTATTTGGTATTAAAAAAAACTTAATTTTCATGCAAATAGATTATATAAGCTTGAGTTGACTGACATTAACATTAACCAGTAGGCTTGTATGATACTTAAGTCCATTAAGATATTATAAAATTGATTAATAGGAGTATAGTTTTTTCCATTATTATAATTTTTCTTTAATCCTTTTTATTTGCTTTTTCTTTCATTTTTAAAACCTAATTTAAACAATATTTTTTACAAAAAAAAAAAACTTCTATATATCTGATATTGAAATAAGCTTTTCTTAGATGTATTATCGTTGATGATTTTGTTTTATTATAATACTCTTTTATCTTAAAACTTTAACTTTAAACATGAAATTTGAGAGTTCATACGAATAATATAATTTTAAGTGTTATAGGTATTAACTTATTGTATTTGAGATTTTTAGCTTGTTTTTTATATAAAATTTATTTTTAAAAAAATCTATTTTAAAATACTTTTATATTATAAAATCACATAAATTATTGTAAGATAAGAAAACACAATATAAGAGGAGATACTAATTTTTCTATTTCGTATGTCACATAATGTTATATATGATATACCAATTTTTCAAATGTCGAACTTGACAAAATCATGGTAAATATATCAATCGAAATATCACTTGTTGAGTTTCTATTTCACTTCTATTCTCAAGATAACGAGTGAAGAATAATTCTGATAAGATATGATTCGTTCTATCTCTTTTAATATAGCATCCTTTCAATTGAACTATACATGTATTATCTCTATATAAGATAGTTGACATTTTGAATCCTTCGAGTGGTCCCAATGGATAAAGGGAATTTTATTCTCCTTTGATGATCCGAGTACGAACAACGTAGTTTGCACGTGTGCGTGCGTGAGTTTAGACATAGATCTTTAAAAAATAAAGATAATTGACATTTTTCTTATGAAAGTGAATCACATGTCTTTTGAATATTTAGGACCAATAATCTTAATAAAACATATTTTCGAATTATCTCATGCTTTGCAATTATTTTTACATAATTTGAAGAAGCAATGACTAATGTTTTCTTTATTGAACATCATGATGATGTGATATATTTGTATATAATTTTTATAATAAATTAATACCCAGAATGATGGAAAAAACTAAGCATAAGCTAAGCTAAGGGTTATATATTTTGATAATAAATTGTATTTAACTTAGTTTGTGGTTGAAGGAAAATGGACTGCTTTGAGATGAAAATGTAAAAGTAAACCATCCAGTCAAACTAATGAGTAATTATATTAATAAAAAATTATATTTAACTTAAACTATATAATACATATTAATATTGGAGTTTGATATATTATAAATATAAAATTAATTAAATAAAGACTAGAAATAAAACATATTTGACAAAAGAAATTCTTTTTCAATTTAGGGTCTGTTTATTTAATATAAAATATTTTACGAAAACGTTTCATTCTTTTATTCTTTTTCGTGTGTGTGTGTTTGTGTAAAATACTTTTGATTAACGTAAAACGTTTTGCAAGTCAATTAAGAGTTCAACATGTTTTTATGTAACATATTTTACGGGATAAAAATCCGTAAAATATTCTACACGTCTCTCATATTTCCTCTATAAATCGCTCTCTTTTATTAATACAATCTCATCTTTTCTATCTTTTTTCTTTAGAAAATTTTCTCATTTATATTTTTATTTTGCAAAATTTATTTGTTTTTCTCTCTTTTACTAATTTCTTTATTTTTTTTAATAAATCTGAGGTGTATATAAGATAATATATGTTCAAATCTTAAGAGATAACAACAAATTCCTTAACAACTGAGATGGTTTAGTTCGTGCTTTCTTTTGATGATAATAATTTAATATTTACATATAAATTCTATTTTCTAAATTAAAATCTTGTTACTACCCATGTTTATATTCTACGCTTAAGGTTTGATTATCAATTATCTCTTTACACTAAACGAATGTTATATAAAAATAATGACTTTTATTTTACTCTAATACATTTTTTCCTTTGATGATTTACGTTGATTTCGATTGAATTTGTGTATATGAGAAGATTGTACACATATTAGAGTTTTATTTTTAGTATATCAATAACTATTTATACTTAAATCAACGAACTTGGTTCAAGTGATAAGTAATTCGATGTTACTTAAGTATGTCTCAAGTTCGAGATATTGTGTACGCAGAAAATCTCTACCAGGAGACTCACCCATCAAAATTAAATACATGAAAAGGGTCGGTCCGAATTAGTTAGGGTGAAACTCTGGAATCGAAAGGGAAACAAATATTACTTTGTATTCATCCCAAATTAATAAAAATTAATAATAAGAAATTTCAATTCAATTAATATTTTTGTATAATTTGGTTCAGCTAATAATTAATTTTTTTAAAAATATAATTAATTTAATTAATACTTTATTTAATTCGATTATTAATGGAACTCCATTTTGTTTTTAATATTTTCATACCTCGCAATATTCCCGCCAAATTAGACAACCGGATATCACCCGTAGACTTTTCGACAGCTAACCCAGTTGCCCAAAAAGAAGTAAATAAATAAATAACTTTATTTCTATTTCCCTGCCCCCAAATTACCATTTCCTTCATTTTCCCTCCTTTGATTTCTTCTTTCCAACCCCATCCATTAATTCCAATTTCATTACAATTCTTTTTCCAACCCCAAATCTCAGTGGAAACAATTTCTTTCTCTTATTGGTCTTTGATTATTTTCCCTTTAATCTTCTGTTTCTTCCGTCTTCCCCCCCCCATATAACTTAGGTTTTTGTGTAGAGTTCGATGAATTTTCGAGAAGCTAGGGTTTGGATTAATAGAGTAGTAAATAGTGTAATTTCTCTCTGATTCGAGACAATGAGTGCCGTCAACATCACTAACGTTACCGTTTTGGATAACCCGGCGTCCTTCTTGTCTGCTTTTCAGTTCGAGATCTCCTACGAGTGTCTGACTCCACTTAAAGATGGTACCCTCTCTTTCTCAACAATTTTTTTGGTTTCAATGCTTTTAAGATTTTAATTTTTTTTGGTTTTGAGTTTTTTTAGTTAGGGTTTGGTTGAGGTTAAATCTATGGGGTTGTTTTCCCCCCTCCCCCCTCCCCCCTCCCGTTTGTTTAATGAAAAAATGGTGGGACGAAAATAAAGGTTTGGTATACTTGAATAAGATAATTTAGTTAATTGTTATAATCGTGGGTTGGGGTTTGCAGTTTTATTGAAGAAAGTTAGGGTTTGGGACAGGCGTAAATTGATCTTCACTTGCATGCTTCGGTTTTACTTGTCTATATGCGTAAGTTTTATTTCAAGAGTGAAACGTAGAAGTAGGAATTTGTTTTAATTTCTACTCTGTAGAAAGCTAAGCTTTATGTTAGATGGAAAATAAATTTATCTTCTCTTTGAAGGAGAAGAAAATAAATAAGAAACTTTGTTTTAAGTTGTGAAGCTTTATGTTACTCTATATTTTTTAATTTTGCGTGTTGATTGCCAATGGATTGACGTGGATATTTTGATACAATTTATGCCAGAACACACAGTATTGACTAGAGTTCCATAATTATGTAGAATGGTTGCTAATTGTCATCTTGTACAAAAAAATTCTAAAGTTTCTAGAATAAAGAAATGTGGAATGCTGGTTCTGTGTAGACAAGCAGCTTTTCAGCTCAGTGATCTGTCTGCCTATGTCTTAGCCATACGTCTCGTTTGAACTTGGAAGTTGAGTTTAAGACAGTTTCTAACACGGTTGGTTCTATTTTTCCAACTCCTCTTTTTCATTTGAAAGTTTTGAGTTTCATTAAAATTAGAAATTTAAGTTTGTCAGATAAAGAAGCCTTCCTTATTATTCATGAATACATTCTGGATATGTTTGTATTAATCTGATATAAGACATTACCAGCCATATCTGTCCACCTAGTAAAGCTATGTTATTGTTGACTTCATGTCTATTTTTGAGGCTAAAATTATTCATGTTTTATTGGATCGACAGATTTAGAATGGAAACTTATCTACGTGGGATCTGCAGAAGATGAGACTTATGATCAACTACTGGAGAGTGTACTTGTTGGACCTGTTAATGTTGGAAATTACCGTTTTGTATTACAGGCAATCTCAACTAACTCGGTTTTAGTTGTGGATTTGATGTATCTGTCTTAATTTCTTACCATTGTCCTTGAATATGTTGCAGGCAGACCCACCAGACCCAGCAAAGATTCGTGAAGAAGATATTATTGGTGTCACAGTGCTTCTATTGACTTGTTCGTATCTTGGCCAAGAGTTTGTCCGAGTGGGTTACTATGTTAATAATGATTACGATGATGAGAAGCTTAGAGAGGAACCTCCCACAAAGGTCTTGATTGAGAAAGTCCAAAGAAATATTCTGACTGATAAACCCAGGGTGACAAAGTTCCCCATAAATTTCCACCCCGAGAGTGGTGGAAATGAAGAAGCCCCACCATCTGATCACCCTGTTGAAAATGAGGGAAACGAGGAACCCCTTCCATCTGATCACTCTGTTGGAAATGACAAAGATGAGGAACTTCCTGCTTCAGAAAATCCAAAAGAACAGCAGGAACCATAAAATTTCTAATTAGCAAATATTGCCAGTATTCAAGATGGATAACCTGGTAACTGTTTCATGGATTGAACTTCAAATATGAACTACAATTTGACATTGGATGAGGATGCTTAATGAAGTAATGATTTGGAAGTGCTGGGTTTGATTTGGCTGTTTTTGTTTCTTTGCGTAACTGTTTCACTATGATGATTTGCTTAGGAACTTGAAATTTAAAATTGGATTTCCAAGTTTGTAATATACTTCTAAAGGAACTTAGTTTACTGTCTTTAGCTTCGCTGTCTCAAACTATTGCCTCTTCTGCCTTGTTGTTACAGGCATTGCGATTTTGTTGATTCTGACAAGTCAGAATCATTTAAATTTGAGTTTAATTTTGTTGATTTTGTTGTTCAATAGGATATGATCATATTTTGCTACTTATTATTTTACTAGCTTCTCGAAACTCAAACTTGAGCGAATAGCAAAAGGAAAATCATTGCTGTATGACTGGAATGCTTAGTCTATCTACCATCTTATTGTTTTGTGCATTGTTTGCAAATGGTTGATAATTGCATTGGAATTATGGTCATATCCTATGAAGTTTTAGGTGAATTTGTTGATCTGGGAAAAGTAGAAGGCACTGAGATTCTTTGAATGCGAAGCTCTGGTTATCATGAAGTAATGGAAATAAGTTCGGTCATGGTCATCCATGTGAGCTAGCTGGAGTATTTTAGCTGGTAAAGCCTAAAACTGAAAACTTGGTTGAAGAGGCCTACTCAACTAGTTTGGGATAGCAATGGATAGTGCATATATTCGGTCTGCTTTTTGTAGATTTGAGTATTGTAGATTCAGATAAATATTGTAATTTTTACATTGTAAATGGTTGATATTTGATGCCTGCACTGGAAGTAGTCATCTATGAGTTTTAGGTGAATTTGCTGAGCTGTGCTGAAGTGTTATCGGAATGGGTTCCGGTCATTATGCTGTGGAAATCGGGTTGATCATGGTCGTACATGTGGGTTGCCTGAAGTTTTAGTAGGTAAAGCTCAAAACTGAGAACCTGGTTCAATGGATTAATATGAGCTAGTCGGGGAGGAGAACCATATCCATACCCTGGTCAAAATTGGTTACCCATGGTCTTAATCCAAATGCTGATACCAGTAAAGATTGTTCGAAGTGAGGGTGTATTCATTTAAAAAAAAATAGTAAATTACAAATTTAATAATTAAACTTTACTCTCTTGTTTTACTTATTGTATTTTTAATTAACTCATTCAATTTTATACGTCAATTTTTTTAGTCACCCTACCATTTTTATTTTAATTTTGTGTTAACAATGATTATGATGATGAAAAAAATTAGAGAGGAACCTCCCCCAAAGGTTTTGATAGAGAAAGTCCAAAAAAGAATATTCAGATGGATAAACCTAGAGTGACAAAGTTCCCCATAAATTTATTTGGTAATAAGGATTGGTGATGAAAGAATCTGGAATGTGTAAATTCTGAAAGAAAATGAAGCGTAGAAAGTTCAAAGTGCCAATCATTGGAGTGAACAAAACAATATGGTAATTCGTTTGACATGACTGGTAGTTTAATTTACGTATACAGTCCACTGGCGCCATTCGAAAATGGCATGCATGATTCTTATTGATTATTGCCGAGGTCTACAGTAATCTTAATATTTTTTTTCCAGCTTGGTAGAGAATCGGGAGAATAAGATAATTTAGGTTTTGCTAGCGGCTCATTTTGACCCGAGCAAAACTTCGACCGGGGAAATTATTTGTATAGCCACCGTCACAAAGTGGCATTTTCTGGTGGCGTGTACGGATTGGACACAAACACAGGCGACACTCACTCTTGTCGATCCCAAAGTCAAAATTTGTTGTTCTTTGAAATTTTACAAAATAACATTTCATTCAAGTAATCCTATAGTAATTATCCCTTAAACACTTGGATCTAATAATTCACACTCGTTTTGCTTCGTTTTCTAGTGGTGTTTATAAAGTAATCTATAGTAATCACCTCCACCACATGCCAATCCAAATGAATGGAAAATTGAATTAGGTTAGCCATCAAGCAAACGAAAGCAAAACCCCATTGTAACACTCAAAACTCAAGCGGTCAATTCCCCTTCATTCACCCACACTTTATAGTTTATTTTTTCAGTTATAAGTTCTTAGTTTATTTAGAATTCTCACCACACAAACTTTCATCCAAAAAAGTAAGAGGAAAGATGTCGGACTGCTTCGACGGCAATGTTTTAGCGGCTAAGTCCTTTGCCCGTTTCGGCGTTACCCACATGTTTGGCGTCGTGGGTATACCCGTTACTTCTCTCGCCAACCGTGCCGTCCAATTGGGTATCCGTTTCATCGCCTTTCACAACGAACAATCCGCTGGTTACGCTGCTTCAGCTTACGGCTACCTCACGGGTCGACCCGGTCTTCTCTTGACCGTTTCAGGGCCTGGTTGTGTCCACGGTCTGGCTGGATTGTCCAATGCTATGATCAACACCTGGCCCATGGTCATGATCTCCGGATCCTCCGACCAGAAAGATGCCGGCCGCGGAGATTTCCAGGAGCTTGATCAGATCGAAGCTGTGAAACCCTTTTCGAAATTCTCGGTTAAAGCCAAAGATATCAAGGAAATTCCCAATTGTGTTGCTAGGGTTTTGGATCATGCGGTTTCTGGTAGACCCGGTGGGTGTTATTTGGATATACCAACTGATGTGTTGCATCAAACGATAACTGAATCGGAAGCTGAGAAATTGTTAACTGAGGTCGAGAAAGGACGGTCTTTTGAAGAACCTAAAGCTCCGCCGAGCTCCGAGATCGAAAAGGCAGTTAGGGAGTTAAGGAAGGCGGAAAGGCCATTGATTGTGTTTGGCAAAGGGGCGGCTTATGGCCGAGCTGAAGGGGAGCTAAGGAAGTTGATTGAAAAAACGGGGATCCCCTTTTTGCCAACTCCAATGGGTAAAGGACTGGTAAACGATGACCATGAGTTGGCCGCCAGTGCTGCAAGGTCACTCGCCATCGGTAAATGTGATGTGGCATTGGTGGTTGGGGCAAGGCTCAATTGGTTATTGCATTTTGGGGAGAGTCCTAAATGGGATAAAGATGTGAAGTTCATTTTAGTGGATGTTTGTGAGGAAGAGATTAAGTTGAGAAAACCCCATTTAGGTTTAGTTGGGGATGCTAAGAAGGTTTTGGAGATGATTAATAAGGAGATTAAAGATGACCCTTTTTGTTTGGGGAAGTCTCATCCTTGGGTTGAGGCTATCTTGAAGAAGGTGAAGGATAATGCGTTGAAAATGGAAGCTCAGTTGGCAAAAGATGTTGTGCCGTTTAACTTTTTGACTCCTATGAGAATTATAAGAGATGCTATTTTGGGGCTTGGGAGTCCAGCTCCGGTGGTGGTTTCGGAAGGGGCGAATACTATGGATGTTGGTAGGTCTGTTTTGGTTCAGACAGAGCCTAGGACTAGGTTGGATGCAGGGACTTGGGGGACAATGGGAGTTGGTTTAGGTTATTGCATTGCAGCTGCTGTGGCTAATCCTGATCGGCTTGTGGTTGCGGTTGAAGGCGACTCGGGATTTGGGTTCAGTGCAATGGAGGTTGAGGTATGTTTCCTACTGTTAAAGTGTCACTTGCACAATTAAGTTTATTATCCCTATTCTTAGGCGTTTTATGTTTAATGCTAACGAAGAAATATAATGCGAATGCTTATGTTGATAATTTAGTAGTATTATATAATGCCTATGGGGTGTGAAATTTACTCGTTTAGTTTTGTGAAGAGGTTTAGTATTACACTTCCTCTTATTAAGATTGAACTCATTTTCATTTTTCTATTAACCTAATTCTGCCGAAGAATTGGGATGATGGTGTTAATTAGGGGCTATATACTATATCTTATCCTTGTTTTGCTTTTTTGGCAAAAGACTTCCTTGCTTTTCTTTACCAAGTTAGCCAAATTGTGAAAGAAAATTTGGATTAGCGACTTAATTTATTATGTAATTATCAGTCAGATAGCAGTAATTATTTTGCTCTTTTTGGGCATGGCATTTTCGAATATGCTAGTTCTTACCTGCAAGGTGTTGAAGGTAAAAACATTTTTAACAAGGATCTGTCCATGTCGTACTGAATATGGAATTTTATTTCAGGATTTCGAAACCATGAGTTGATTGTGTCACAGTTACTTAAAAAAGAATCAAGTATCATGTTGGATTAGTAGCAAAGTTGTTTGCCGAAAGCTTGGTGTTTGATAATAACTCAATGAAGGGCACTTTTTTTTTGATGCATCATATTCTTGATGTTCTTCCTTTTTTGTGTGTTCTCTTTCTCTCTATTAAATCTTTAAAGAGTTGTCTTCTTTTATTTTTCTTATTTTTTATGGTGCTTTAAGAAATCTAGAAATTGTGAACGCTCTTTCTGGTTTATGTCCTTTTCTGATTGCTGTTTCTTGTTATTTTTGTGTATCTTTTGAATATGTTGTGTTTATCTTCTCTTATAATGCAGACATTGGTTAGATACAAGTTGCCAGTTGTAGTGATAGTCTTTAACAACGGTGGTGTCTACGGTGGTGATCGTAGGAGCCCTGAAGAAGTTACGGGCCCTTTCGAACATGATCCTGCCCCCACTTCCTTTGTTCCCGGTGCGGCTTACCAGACTGTAATGGAAGCTTTTGGGGGGAAGGGTTACCTTGTTGGGACACCTGATGAATTAAAATCTGCCCTTTCTGAATCCTTTTCTTCAAGGAAGCCAGCTGTGATAAATGTGACAATCGATCCTTACGCCGGAGCGGAAAGTGGGAGAATGCAGCACAAGAATTAAGTTGGTTTCTGCTGTATCCTTCCGCCGGTGGGAGAATGCAGCAGCGCAGGAACTGAAGTAGTTTGGGTTCTATGGTTTTAAATTTGTTTTTCCACCACTTACTCAACCCAATGAATAATATTGAAGTTTGAATTTGATTTATGCTCAGTTGTGATATATAGAACAAATAGAGATAAATGTCTTCTGGCTTATCTTGTCAAATGCAAAATGCTGGAGTATATGCCATTTATAAAATGTTTCTTACTTGTAATTGTCTGGCAGCATTGTTGATATTATATAGGGTAAATTACATATAATACCACTTAAAATTTTAGGGATTGTATCTTTTATACTAATGAAATTTTAATTTCTCATTGAATTTTAATTATATCATTAATCCAAACATCGCGATAATATGGATAAAACAATATCATTTTGGTATTTTAGGTGTTGAACTTTTAAATGGTATCGATTTATTATTAAATTTTAAAACAATTTATTTTTTGGTATTATATTTTTTCGATCATCGTCAATAATTAATTATCGGTTGCGTTTTGTTTCAAAATTAATACTAAAACATTTGTATTTCACTCATTTTTCTTCTTATATAATTGTTTCTTATATGAAACTCAATTGAAATTGTTAAAATTTAAAAATCTACCATTTTTACGGAAACTTTTAAATGAATTTTTAGTAATTTTGAATGGATTTCATGTAATAGTAAAATTAATTTTAGGAGAAAAAAGTAATTTTAAGAGAGAAAAGACGTGAATTATAAATATTTTGATAATCTTAACGCAATAAATGATTAATGATTGATTATTTACGATAACCGAAAAATATAATATTAAAAATAAATTATATTTTAATTTAATGATAAAATGATACACTTACAAAATTTAATACTTTGAATTATGTAAATTGAAAATTGAAAAATATAAATAATTTATCATTTAAAGTTGAGTAACATTTAATGTAATTTATTTTATTATATATATACCCCTAATCCGAACCCATTATATATATCCGACATAAATTTAACCAGAACTTGATTCAATAAGATTATGAATACTTCTACTTTGAAAATACACGAAGATTCTATGGTAGTTCATAGTAATTCAATAATAAAACAACAGAGTTACGTTATTGATAAGAATGTCAGACAGGAATTTTCCATAAAATTTACGCATTCATACTTGATCATTTACCTGAGTCAACTCAGTCCGCAGTCAACACCGTGTGGGACATGACCAGACTTCCAAAACCATATACGATCAATTTCATTTCCTTCGATCACGTCCTCCCCTAAACTTTACTTAGCTACTTGTTTCTAAAACCCATAGCTTTCCCTCAAATCGTTCTGCTTTTAATCTAAGTTTCATTTGAATCTTTTGAACTCTTGGGGTGGTGTCCATGGCAGATGTATTTGTTTCTTCCCTTGTGAAAACCATCTTTGGGACCCTAAATTCTCTAGCACTTCATGAATATGAAATCGCAAGTAATTTGGAAACCGAGCTTCAAAATCTCGAAAGCACTTTAACTACGATTCAGGCCGTGCTTCAGGACGCGGAGCAGAAACAATGGAAGAGTGAGGCCGTCAAGAATTGGCTCAGAAAGCTCAAGGATGTCGCTTACGATGCTGACGATATACTCGACGAGTTTGCTGCAAAAGCTTTGAGATGGGAAGCTAGAAAAAACATGAGCAGCAAAGTAAGTGATTTCTTTTCGTCGAAAAATTCCGCCTTGTTTAATTTCAAAAAGGCTCATAAACTCAAGCAAATTAGGCAAAGATTAGATGCTGTAGCGGAGGAGAAAAACAAGTTTCATTTGACTGAAAATGTTAGGGACTTAGAAACCGATGATAGGGAATGGCGGCTAACTAGCTCACTGGTGAATGAATTTGAAATATTTGGAAGGAATGAGGATAAAGAAAACGTAATCAATGGGTTGTTGGCTAGTTCGTCTGATCGAAATGATTTGTCCATTTATGCCATTTGTGGTATGGATGTGAAGACATTTAATTTCGTCCACCGTTATTTATATAATATTATATTATATAATTATATATATATATACATATATATACATATATTTACATTTTATTTCACAGGCCCAAGACCAAAGAGCCCAGCAGAAACATGTGAGGTCCAACAGATCACACGTGACCCGAAGCCAACTTGGAGCCCCGAACCGAGTCCAAGTCCTCAACCCAAACTGATGCAAGGGTTCCAGAAGCTTTCTTATTCTGCGCCATTTTTCACGGCAGCACACCCCCAACGACCGGGCTTCTCGGTAACCACCAACGCCATTCAAGGAAAATAAACAACAAGCAACCAAGATATATTTGGACTCTATCTTGAATAGGATTCTAAAAATAGTGTTTGGTTTTTATTATAAATACATGTAATCGAACCATTCAAAGGGGGACGATTTGGTGCACGAGAATATTACCTAGAGATTACCACGATAGCACACACACAAATCTTACGAGTATTCATTAGCGAAATACGAGCAAAGCAATCTCGGAGATCAACATTTTGTAATCGTTTCGAAGCAAAATAAAGGGTAAAAAAATCATATCTTCCTCGTTTTATCTTGCATGTGCATTTGCTTCATCGTTTTGTTTCGAATAAAACCCAAAAATGGGTTCTTTGCCGAGGATCGGAGTGAGGGCAATCAAAATCTATTTTTTTAGATCTAGCCCTCCCGAGGTACATTCTTGAAAAACCAAGTGCGGATTTTAAAAGGAGTGGGGGTTACACCAAAAAATAGTTTCGAAAAATATCACAAAAAAAAACAAAGAACATTCGAAACTTAAAAAAACAGAGGGGAACAAAGAAGCAAAGAAGAAATCAGAGAAGTTCTCACCTCGGATCGAAGAGGAAAGCCCGAAGTTAGCCGTATTTATTTTTCCTGAGAGAAGTGAAAGGGGAACGAAAAGTGAAAAAGGAGAATGACTTACCTCTCGGTCGCAACACATCCCCAACCAACTCAGAGAAGAAAATCTCAAAGCTGGATTGTGCAGTCTCGAGCTTTGTGAGGTTAGTGCCAACTATTAGCTTTTTTTTTAATTGCTCCTTTAACTGGTTTTGTACCTGTTGTTAACATCTTTTATTGGACTACTTTATTAGTGGCATTAAATAATATTGTAATTATTTGTCATGTTATATGATTTCAATGTTCCTAAACGCATGGATTCAATTAACACTTGGAAAAGCCATTATTTTGGCCATTTTCTTTTGCGTGAGATTAAATAAATCCCATGGTTTTGAACATTGGGCAAATTCACCATATGGTCCTTTATTTATTATGGTTTTTATTTATTTATTTAGTTTATTTTATTACTTTTTTTCCTTTGGTTTATGTAGTATTTATTTAATATTTCTTATCTAATATATTTTTTATCAAAGGTAAGTAATTTCAATCGGGTTTTTAAATTCTAATTTTGTAATTAAAGACAACCGATAAATTAATTAGTACCGAAAGGGCAGTTCAAGGGTGCTAATCCTTCCTTGACCGTAACCGACTCCCGAACCCGACACATTTCTGGTACAACGCAGATCAGGTAAGATGGTGTCCGATCCACCTAAATTTGTTTTAAAATGGTCGGTGGCGACTCCCTAACACAATTATTCACGTCGAAGCCCAATTCCGGGGCTCAACCCGAAAGACGGTTACGACAGCTTGGCGACTCCGCTGGGGATCGGTAAGTGAGTCAGGCCAGAATTAATTTTTAGTTGTCTTTTTATGCGAAAATAGTAAATTTAAATTTAAATTTATTTATTCGATTCCAGTTATTTACCTTTGATTATTTTTGAAATAAATAGTTGTACTAACATTGTTTTAATGATTTCAGATTTTTTTCAAAATTGTCATCTCTAGCTCAATACCCGAGCTCCGAACCCTTTTAAGTGGGGGCGAAAGCGATGCCTTCGTGGGAATTTATTCTCCGTATGGGCCTAGCAAGTAACCTTCGGGATCCATATACCTTATGTCTTCGTGTGAATTTATTCTCCGTATGGGCATAAGGGAATGTTTCCCCTCGAGTTTAACTTAGTCCACATAAGCTTGTAATGGGCTTAGGACTAAGGGTCTGGCAAGCCCAAGGGGCACCGACAAGGAGAACTCGAGTACCTTTTTAGAACATAAACCGGGAGAGTGCGGGGAATTAGAGCCCACCCCAAGACCTCATTCCAAGCCCTAGGATGCTTTGTTTCCTGCTTTATTTTCTGTTCAAAGTATGCGAACTAGACAAATATGCGGTTAGGATTTGTTTGAAATTAGCATGCGGGATAGAGATCATGTTTGGGTAGGAATTAAAGCATGCGGAGTAGATATTATGTGGGGTAGGACTTTTCATTTTCATCATTTTTTATTATTTTCCTTATCTCACTAGCTTGTTTTTCCTCCCTTTCATTTTTTTTTCTTTGGCATTTTTTTTATCATTCGCATCATTAAAACGAGGTGTTGATACACCAAAAATGTGTTTGTTAAACGTAAATAATCTGCATTAACGGACAAAGGGGTTATAATACAAAGAGATAAAAATCTCAGAAGTCCAACCGCGGTCAAAGAATACTCAAAGAGATAAAATGTGTTTTTTTGGATCAATGCCTCGGACATTTCATGCATCATATATTTAAACATTTTGCATTTTTTATTTTCTTTGCATTTTGTTATTTTATTTGCATTCACATTAACTAACATAAACATGTCTCATCAAAGGGAGCAAATACTGGATACACCGCCTCAAGCATTGGACACACCCCATCCGCATAACACTCGTTTGAAGAAGAAGAGGATGGAAGCCAGAATTACACAAATTGAGGAGAATATGTTGAAACTACAGAAAGAGCTAGAAGATAAGATAAACCAAAATAGTCGAAATACTCTAGAAACAATCACAAAGAACCAAGAGTCCTTGGTTGATCAGATCGTTGCCAAGTTAGTTGGCCTACAACAGACCAGTGCGCCTGGGGCAGGTTCATCGGAAGGGGTAACTATACAACCTACCCCGCAAGTGGTTATCTCACCTGAAATCTTACCAGAACTTCGAGGGGACTCATCTGCTGCAAAAGCAAAGCCCTCGTCCTCTGTATTTAACCCTAAGAACAATCCAGGTTATTACCATATACCGGATTTAGACGAAGAGGAAAAAGCGAGGAAGATGGAGGAAAAAATTAAACAATTGGAGGACCAAATGAAGGTAGTCAAAGGAGACCATGACTACCATGAAATCAATGTTGCGGAACTCAGTCTAGTCCCAGACTTGGTTCTTCCTCCGAAATTTAAGTCCTCGGAATTCGAGAAGTTTGACGGGAACAGTTGTCCATCCGCTCACATCACCATGTTCTGCAGAAAGATGACAGGATATGGAGAAAACGACCAGCTCCTGATTCACTGCTTCCAGGAGAGTCTGTCGGGCTCAGCCATTCGGTGGTACAACCAGCTGAGCCGATCAAATATCAAAACCTGGAAGGACCTGGCTAAGTCATTTCTAGAACAATACAAGCATGTCAATGACATAAGGCCAGATCGAGTTACGCTACAAAGCATGGAAAAGAAGCATAACGAGAGTTTCAGGCAATACGCACAAAAGTGGAGGGACTTGGCTGTGCAAGTTCATCCACCGTTGGATGAAATAGAAACCCGAAAACTTTTCGTACAGACCCTGAAGACCCCATACTTTGGACACCTAGTTGCGATCAAGTCAGGGAGCTTTTCAGACTTGGTTATGGCTGGAGAAATGGTCGAGTCGGCCATAAAGCAAGGCAAAATTAAGGATGGGGAGGCCAGTAGGAAACCTCCTATGCGAGAGCGGGATGGAGAGATTAACAACATCAACCATGCCAGTAAAGGTGTTACGATCTCCAAACCGAAACCAACTGCAGCTGTACCGTCAGGTACTTCTAAACAAGATCCCAGAGAACCAAGGAGGGAAAGGGAACATTTTGACCCTATTCCCATGACCTACAAAGAGCTTTACCATCAACTTCTTGACACCCATGTAGTGTCACCATACTCGGTTGAACCCTTGAAACCCCCATACCCCAAGTGGTATGATGAGAATGTGCATTGTGAATATCACGGCGGAGTCCCAGGGCACACAATTGAGAACTGTTATGCATTCAAAAGGGTCGTACAAAAGATGCGTAACCAGAACTGGATCGACTTCAACAACTTGGGGGCATCCAAGTGAGGGAGATCGTTTCATCATTTGAGGCATTCTGTTGGAACTTGTTTTTTTTTTCACTTTTTCAAGTTTTTGTAAGAACATTTGAATAAATTTATGTTACTTTAATGATGACGAGCAATGAATCACATTTGTAAACTTGCAATTCTTTGAATATCATTTGAATTAAGAAACTCTGTGAATGGTTCAAAGTTTCAGATCTTTGACAAAGTAACATGTTTTAAAACAAGGACCTTGACCTTACCCAGAATATACCCTCAAACACCATACCCTGCTCTTACAATTAACCAATACAACACTTTCTTTTCATAAGGTGCGGACAACACGGGGCATCATTTGCATATGACAATTACTATGTTTTTTTATTTAAGACGTTCAATGACGATGATGATCTTTACAAATGAAAGAGTCGAGTAGGTGAATCCAGTTTAGGTCAGTTGCTTGAAAATTGAACTCTAAAGATGAAATTTTTGACTTTCAACAAATACCTAGGCTATAACAGGTTCTTCTTAACAATCTTAAGAAATTAAATCCGTAAAACTGAGCTATTCCACTAAGGCAATTGGTTACAGAGGAAACTCGAAAGCCCTGGCTTTATGAATATATTGTATTCAAACCATGACATTGCTCGGACACTTGGCAATTCGGTGTTTGCTCCACTGCTTTTGTCAGGCCGAAGACTTTGTGATGAGATGAACCCTTCAGTTAAACCTGATAAAAGTGATTATAATGTTAAGCTGTCCCTCTAAAGTAATTGGTTAAACGGCCCGACTTTATGGATTCAGCTAGCCAGACAATGGAAAATTAAATCAAATTTATCTGAGCAAGAAATTTTCGGTAATGTAGGACTAAGAGAGTTAAGGAACACCTGTTATAGTCGACTACACACGAGCACTCAAGAATTTCATTTTTAGACCGATATTTTTCGCACTGCCTTTGTTGGAGGAGCCTACAAAGCTTGAATAAATGGAAGATTTCAGAGGACCGAAATAAAATGTCTAGTAATTGGTCATTCTAGTTGCGTCATTATGTCCGCACCCAAATGAAATGCCAAAGCATATTTCGATATTTAAAAAAATGACATTTTTGGTTACCGAAACCTTAGAAAGGAGGCCAACCTAAAGCCAACCCATCCATTTGAACATTTGTCAAAGAGCTGTAACTCTGAAAGCGTTAAAAGAGCTATTGATTCCTTTGATATTCTTTGAACTCACGTTTATAATATTGATTCAATTGCGAATAATATTTTACAGCATTTTTATCATTTTCTCTCCTGAAAACAAGAAAAAGGAGAAAAACATTTTCGAACAGAACAATCTCAGATATGAAATGTCTGTAAAACCCAAGCTCGAGAAGCAAAAGGGGCACGATCGATTCCATGGACCAGATTGGCAGACAAAGCAAGAAGAGATAACACATAATTCATTGATGTTGCATGCATCTTAGACATACTTAGGTGCATCATGTTCATCATTTTAGCATACATGATTTTTGCAGCTTTTAGAGTCAAGGATACTCGATTCATAAACGCCTTTAAAGAACGATGGTGGTTGCTTAGCTCAGCAGTCAGAGGCTGCACCTCAACCGACTTGACATATCTACAGATCTCGTAATCAATTTCAGATAGGTTCGAGAACCAATTCAGAACAAATCCAGTCCAGCTCAACTCAACAATGAGCAGCATGTTTCCAGTTAATGACTTCAAGCCAGATTTCAATTCCACAACGGAAGATATCCGGCTATCAGAATTTATCAGTGGGCTTTTCCGTAAAAGGGGAGTCATCCAAAGATTGTCTCATTTGGTTCAGACTAGCTCAAAGGAACCACCTGAAGAGTCATGACCGGCTTCGACCCGTTAAGGGAAGCCATTTTTTTAAACAAATCATTTGCGGTATACTCAAGGCTAGAAGGGTTATCTGTCACCAAAGACCTTCGAGTTCGACTACGCTCAGCTCCAAGGCATGTCATTTGCAGCACAACTTAAGTCTAGAAGGGTTGTCTGCCAACAAAAGACCTTTGAGTTCGACTACGCTCAGCTCAACGGCACATCATTTGCAGCATAGCTTAAGTCGAGAAGGGCTATCTGCCAAAGACCCCCGAGTTCGATTACACTCAGCTTCGAGGGCACATCATTTGCAGCATAACTTAAGTCGAGAATGGTTATCTGCCAACCAAAGACCTTCGAGTTCGACTACGCTCAGCTCCAAGGCATGTCATTTGCAGCACAACTTAAGTCTAGAAGGGTTGTCTGCCAACAAAAGACCTTTGAGTTCGACTACGCTCAGCTCAACGGCACATCATTTGCAGCATAGCTTAAGTCGAAAAGGGCCATCTACCAAAGACCCCCGAGTTCAATTACACTCAGCTTCGAGGGCACATCATTTGCAGCATAACTTAAGTCGAGAAGGGTTATCTGCCAACCAAAGACCTTCGAGTTCGACTACGCTCAGCTCCAAGGCATGCCATTTGCAGCACAACTTAAGTCTAGAAGGGTTGTCTGCCAACAAAAGACCTTTGAGTTCGACTACGCTCAGCTCAACGACACATCATTTGTAGCATAGCTTAAGTCGAGAAGGGCTATCTGCCAAAGACCCCCGAGTTCGATTATACTCAGCTTCAAGGGCACATCATTTGCAGCATAACTTAAGTCGAGAAGGGTTATCTGCCAACCAGAGACCTTCGAGTTCGACTACGCTCAGCTCCAAGGCATGTCATTTGCAGCACAACTTAAGTCTAGAAGGGTTGTCTGCCAACAAAAGACCTTTGAGTTCGACTACGCTCAGCTCAACGGCACATCATTTGCAGCATAACTTAAGTCGAGAAGGGTTATCTGCCAACCAAAGACCTTCGAGTTCGACTACGCTCAGCTCCAAGGCATATCATTTGCAGCACAATTTAAGTCTAGAAGGGTTGTCTGCCAACAAAAGACCTTTGAGTTCGACTACGCTCAGCTCAACGGCACATCATTTGCAGCATAACTTAAGTCGAGAAGGGTTATCTGCCAACCAAAGACCTTCGAGTTCGACTACGCTCAGCTCCAAGGCATATCATTTGCAGCACAACTTAAGTCTAGAAGGGTTGTCTGCCAACAAAAGACCTTTGAGTTCGACTACGCTCAGCTCAACGGCACATCATTTGCAGTATAGCTTAAGTCGAGAAGGGCTATCTGCAAAAGACCCCCGAGTTCGATTCCACTCAGCTCCGAGGGCACATTATTTACAGCATAGCTCAAGGCGAGAAGGGCTATCTGTCAACAAAATTGTCTGCTCGAGGGCGTATCAAACATGTGGTGTAGTCAATGAACTACTTTCCAGTCGAATATTTAAACCAAGGTCTTTAAACCGAGAAGAAGACCGAATTTGACTACAATTTGACAACGAGAAACCACATTTCGATTCAAATTTCGAACTACGACTTCAAGTCCACATCATTTCAAGATGGACTCGACTTCGCGACGGAGGAGCCATCTGCGACTTAATAACAGGGAGTCATTTCATACTTCAATTCAGATTGACAAACCAGTCAGACATCGGATTTAAACTCTACGACAGAGGATATTCGATATGGACGAAATTTGTATCTTTTAATCTTTGCTCTATTTTCGTTACACGATAATGAGCAAAGAGGGGCAACTGAAGACATTTAATTTCGTCCACCGTTATTTATATAATATTATATTATATAATTATATACATATATATATATATACATATATTTACATTTTATTTCACAGGCCCAAGACCAAAGAGCCCGGCAGAAACATGTGAGGTCCAACAGATCACACGTGACCCGAAGCCAACTTGGAGCCCCGAACCGAGTCCAAGTCCTCAACCCAAACTGATGCAAGGGTTCCAGAAGCTTTCTTATTCTGCGCCATTTTTCACGGCAGCACACCCCCAACGACCGGGCTTCTCGGTAACCACCAACGCCATTCAAGGAAAATAAACAACAAGCAACCAAGATATATTAGGACTCTATCTTGAATAGGATTCTAAAAATAGTGTTTGGTTTTTATTATAAATACATGTAATCGAACCATTCAAAGGGGGACGATTTGGTGCACGAGAATATTACCTAGAGATTACCACGATAGCACACACACAAATCTTACGAGTATTCATTAGCGAAATACGAGCAAAGCAATCTCGGAGATCAACATTTTGTAATCGTTTCGAAGCAAAATAAAGGGTAAAAAAATCATATCTTCCTCGTTTTATCTTGCATGTGCATTTACTTCATCGTTTTGTTTCGAATAAAACCCAAAAATGGGTTCTTTGCCGAGGATCGGAGTGAGGGCAATCAAAATCTATTTTTTTAGATCTAGCCCTCCCGAGGTACATTCTTGAAAAACCAAGTGCGGATTTTAAAAGGAGTGGGGGTTACACCAAAAAATAGTTTCGAAAAATATCACAAAAAAAAAACAAAGAACATTCGAAACTTAAAAAAACAGAGGGGAACAAAGAAGCAAAGAAGAAATCATAGAAGTTCTCACCTCGGATCGAAGAGGAAAGCCCGAAGTTAGCCGTATTTATTTTTCCTGAGAGAAGTGAAAGGGGAACGAAAAGTGAAAAAGGAGAATGACTTACCTCTCGGTCGCAACATATCCCCAACCAACTCAGAGAAGAAAATCTCAAAGCTGGATTGTGCAGTCTCGAGCTTTGTGAGGTTAGTGCCAACTGTTAGCTTTTTTTTTTTAATTGCTCCTTTAACTGGTTTTGTGCCTGTTGTTAACATCTTTTATTGGACTACTTTATTAGTGGCATTAAATAATATTGTAATTATTTGTCCTGTTATATGATTTCAATGTTCCTAAACGCATGGATTCAATTAACACTTGGAAAAGCCATTATTTTGGCCATTTTCTTTTACGTGAGATTAAATAAATCCCATGGTTTTGAACATTGGGCAAATTCACCATATGGTCCTTTATTTATTATGGTTTTTATTTATTTATTTAGTTTATTTTATTACTTTTTTTCCTTTGGTTTATGTAGTATTTATTTAATATTTCTTATCTAATATTTTTTTTTATCAAAGGTAAGTAATTTGAATCGGGTTTTTAAATTCTAATTTTGTAATTAAAGACAACCGATAAATTAATTGGTACCGAAAGGGCAGTTCAAGGGTGCTAATCCTTCCTTGACCGTAACCGACTCCCGAACCCGACACATTTCTGGTACAACGCAGATCAGGTAAGATGGTGTCCGACACACCTAAATTTGTTTTAAAATGGTCGGTGGCGACTCCCTAACACAATTATTCACGTCGAAGCCCAATTCCGGGGCTCAACCCGAAAGACGGTTACGACAGGATGGACTTGGAAAGACTACTCTTGCTCAACTGGTCTTTAATGATGAAAGGGTTGTAATGGGTTTCGAGTTGAGGATTTGGGTGTGTATTAGTGGCGGATCTAGAAATTAAAAAATAAGGGTCCAAAATTTTAATACTCTATTCTAAAAAAATTTGGGTATGCAAATTTTCTTATTTTTTTCTATTACTATTTACAAATTAAACTAAATTTAACACTTTTCTCAAAATAATAGGTGTGCAATGGCTCCCTAGGGAGCCATGTACATCCGCCCCTGATGTGTATCCGATGATTTTGAAGTTAGAAAGTTGACCAAAGCAGTCATCGAGTCCATTGATGGCAGCCCTACTGATATCAAGGAGCTCGACCCTCTGCAACGATACTTGAAAGAAAAGTTGAGGAAGAAGCGATTTCTTCTCGTACTAGACGATGTTTGGAATGAAAACAATGAAAAGTGGGATTGTTTTAGGAAGCCATTGAAGGTTGGAGCCAAAGGCAGCGTGGTCATGGTCACAACTCGAGTCGAGAAAGTTGCTCTTATCATGGCCACTCTTCCTACATACCATTTGGACTATTTTTCGGACAACAATTCTTGGTTACTCTTCAAGCAGCGTTCGTTTTTGATGGAAAGCGAGGAGGGATACGAAATACTGGCAAGAATCGGAAAGCAAATTGTTCAAAAGTGCGGAGGGGTTCCTTTGGCCGTAAAAGCTCTTGGAAGTATGCTGCGGTTAAAGCGTAGAAAAAATGACTGGTTATCTGTTAAAGAAAGTGAGATCTGGGAGTTACCGGACGACGACAGGAGCGGAATTCTACCTGCCTTGAGATTAAGTTATGACAACCTACCATCATATTCAAGGCAGTGTTTTGCGTATTGCTCAATATTCCCGAAAGACAGTGAAATGGACAAATCTCAGTTGATAGAGTTATGGATAGCAAATGGATTTGTTCATTGCAGAGGAAGAAGGGATTTGCATGAAATTGGAGATGAGATTTTCCTCGAATTAACTTGGAGGTCCTTCTTTCAAGAAGTTAAGGAAGATAATGATGGCACCGTGACATGTAAAATGCATGATCTTGTTCATGACCTTGCAATTTCTATAATGAGATTCGAATGCTATATGTACGGCAACAATGAGTGTTTTGAGTCTCCGAAAAAAATTCGACACCTACATATTCCCATTCAGCCTATGCCTTCTTCTCTCCATTTGGAAAGGGTTCTTGCAGACAAGCAAAGTAATCTCATGAAAAGCTGTTCGTCAGTGCGGTCACTCATTCTCGGTGGCATTTGTCTGACAGAATCCAATTTTCCTTCTTTGAAACATGTGAGAGCATTAGACTGCAATATATTTCCATTGCCGAAGTCGCTAGGAAAGATGGTACACCTTAGATATTTAAATGCACGTCGTGAAGGGAGCTTATGCATCACAAGAATTCCGAATTCGTTTTTTAACTTGGTGCACTTGACATATCTGAACTTGTCTCACAGTCGAATCAGAAGAATTCCGAATTCCTTTTGTAACTTGGTGCACTTGACATATCTGAACTTGTCTTACAGTCGTATCAGAAGGTTGCCAAAGTCTACCGCTTGCCTCCGAAACTTGCAGATTATGAAACTCGTGGGCTGTTGGTGTCTTCGTGAGCTACCCCAGGGAATGAAGCATATGAGAAGCCTAAAATGTGTTGATCTCTCACATCGTGATTCTCTTGAGCGAACTCCACCCGGGATTGGGAACCTGACTCAGTTGCTAGAACTAAGTATATTCATAGTAAGGAAGGACCATGGTTGTGGAATAGGCGAGCTTAAAGAGTTAGACCTCGGAAAGGAGTTGTCTATAAAGGAACTCGATAATGTGACAGGTTCAACAGAAGCCAAAAGTGCCAACTTGATAAGGAAGTCGAATCTCCGGTCATTGAGTTTACTTTGGGGAAAGAATGCAGGGGAATTTCCAGATAACGAAGAAGAGGTTCTTGGCTGTCTCCAACCTCATTCTAATCTGGAGTATTTACGAATAAGCTGTTATCAAGGTTTAAGGCTACCTGCTTGGTTGATTGATTTACCGAATCTGGTATCAGTTGAGCTTGACCAGTGTAAAAGATGTTCACATCTTCCACCTCTAGGGGAACTACCGTTGCTTAAGGTTCTTAAAATAAGGGGAATGGATGCTGTGAAGTGCATTAGCAATGAATTTTATGGAAATGGGGTTAATCCATTCCCATCATTGGAGGAACTCTATTTTGAGTCGCTGCCTATTTTGGAGAAATGGAAAACAGTCGACGGAAGGGGGGATTTTCCTCGGCTACAAATGTTGATTTTCAGGAAATGGCCTCAGTTAATTGAATTGCCAACATTTCCAACCCTCAGGAAGCTTCGAATTTGGACAAGGAAACACAACTTTCTTTTCCGCCCTGATCTTGGTTCACTCGAGATCCTTGACCTTTCTAGCTTGACAATTTTTCCCAGTGGTTTGTTGCAAAATCACACACACCTTGAGGAGTTGACGATAGAATCCTTACCCGATCTCAAGTCTCTGTCAAATAAGCTAGATAATCTATCTATGCTTAAACACTTGACCATTAGGTGCTGCAACAAGGTTGAAGACATCCCAGAAGCTATCCAAAACCTCAATGCTTTAGAGAGTTTGGCTTTAAGTCAGTGTCATAGTCTTGTTTCGTTTCCTGGTAATGGTTCCCGTTGCCCACCTTCAATCCGTGTCCTGGAGATTATGTGCTGCGATAGATTTGCCTAATTTTCTGAAGGGGTCATGCGTTTGACACATCTTGAGGAGTTGTCCCTTTTTGATTGTCCCATGTTGAATACCTTACCGGCAGAAATCCAGCATCTAAATGCTCTTCGAAAACTTGTAATTAGTAGGTGTGATGGATTAACTTCTGTTCCGAACCATATAGAACACCTCACCTCACTTTCCCAGTTGACTTTCGAACGTTGTCATAATCTGACATCATTGCCTCAGGGCCTAAAGAGTCTCACAACACTTGAAAAACTAACCATTTGGGGATGCTTGCATTTGGAGAACCGTTGCAAGAAAGAGGGAGGAGAGGATTGGCCCTACATAGCTCACATTCCTTCTATTCGGATCGTGCCTTATGATGCACTGCGTCATCGCAGTATCTTAACAAGGTAAACTTTTCTTTTCAGTTACATATGCAGTTTCACTTGAATTCCTTTTAGACTTGAACTTATCTTTGCTCGCGTATACCGCTCTCGAAACAATGCTCCTTGTTATGTTATTTTGCGTTACTCGGATTTGGATGTGAGTGCTGGATATAGTATCTGTCTGGCCGAGATGAAAAAGAAGAAGCATACTTCACTGTTTTTTATTGGAAGTCGACGTATTTTGCAGGTTTCGTGATTGGATTTTCGCCTGATTCATGAAGCTCATGGGTGAGTGAAAATGGAGTTTGTAGGGCACATCTATGCACTATTGCTGTTATCCTCGTTCAACATAATCTGCATCATGCACTGTTTATTACATTTACTTCATATGGTATTCTGTCGATTATAATATATTTAAATAAATTTTGATATATTAATGATGGTTATTATGAAGATTTTAAAATTTTATTATAGTTTAATTATATATGGTTTTGATCCTGAATCTCAACTGTGGGAAGGCTTCATTTAGCGAGTAGAATATCACAGTTCGATTTGGTAACAATCTGACAATTTTTTGTAGTTTTGGGCTTGCTTTGCAATGTTTATAAAGAGTTTTTTAAACAGTAACAACGCATACACACTTCGACATAATTATTTGAATCCAAAATTTGTAAAAAGAATAATATTTTATTTCTTCAACTGATGTGAGTTTAAATATTTATATTTTAAAATTAAAGATTTATTAATAAAATAATAATCCAAACCGAAGCAGATCGATTGAACTTTACAGAATATTAATGTATAAGTTCCTTTATCCATATAGTTCGAGTGCAGGACACAGATTCTTGTAAATCTCATATAACAACCTTTGATCAAATTCAGAGGTCGAATAACCCAAAGCAACTTTTCGAGCTTTGGGAATCCGCTTTCCTCCGAATTCGTTCTTCGCACTCAAATACCCAACGCTCCCGCCCAATCTCAGCAGCATATTCATGTAACCATTTTTCAGCTTCGTCAACAGCTTCATCGGCGAAGCAATCATCATCTTCCATCGCAGCTTCGGTGTCGCTCTGATCTTCCAAAACCGCTGCGATCTCCCTCCCATCCTCGTGACTTTTATGTTCTTCCTCGCTTCGCCGCCGTACAGTCGTTGGTACCGCCGCCTTCTCCAGTATCTCTTCAGGTTCCCAGGAATTGGTTTATGAAGAAACTCCATTTTTTTTATGTTATCAGAGAGGATGAAGAAGATGATTACGACGACCGTATATATACATGCAAATAAAATTTGTGAAGTGATTCCCAAGGGCAGTGGAAGTCCAATAGTTTTGAGGTCAATAAAGTCGGTTTTTGATTAATTAGTTGAATGTTAGATGATACATTAACTCAATTTTGATTGTCTTAATGGAAAATCTTTGAACTTTGATTAAATTAATACCCAAAACTGTATACGTAAAGGGACGACTTTGGACATACTAATTAGTCGGGTGACCCTTTTTTACCTTTTAATAGTCATGAGACTCAACAAAGCAATATCCTATGGTAAGATGATCATTTTGTAACTTTTAATAGTCGAGAATTCAACAAAACATCACCCTATAGTTAGAAGACTATTTGTGTACTTTACCCAATTATATATTACTATCATTTTAATACCTAAAACTAAAAACAAATAGTTTTAAGAATTTAATTGAACAATTCGAAAAAAATCTCAAACCAAATTAAATAGTAAAATTATCAATAATAAAATGTAATTGGACAAACAATTATATTATAAAATACATTTAATGGTAAACTGAAAACAACTTGGACACAAATAACATTGAGGGTAAAGTATATAAATAGTCTCTGAACTTTTAGGGGACTTGCATTTTGGTCATCGAACTTTTAAAACATGCAATACAGTCACCGAACTTTTAATTCTTTTTCAGTAAAGTCCATGTCGTTACCTTCCGTCAGTTAAGGCTGAAGTGGCAGTTACTTCCCCTTATCTTCTTCTTCTTGTTTCTGTAGCAGAGCACAACACCAAAACTATTTTCGGCGTTTTTCTGGAGCACCTTCAATGCGTTCTTCTTCTTGTTTACAGGTTGAACACTTATGCAACAATGGAGCCATTCGTGATTGCGACGAATCGAAAGCTGAGTGTGGTTCATCCGATTTATAAACTTCTCCATCCTCACTTTCGTGACACGATGACCATCGATTCGTTTGCTAGGTAGATTCTGATTAATGGAGGTGGAGTCCTGAAACTAACAGTTTTCCCTGCAAAATATGCAATGAAAATGTCATCACTGATCTGTAAGAGTTGGAATTTGGTTGACCAGGCACTTCCTAGAGAGCTCAAGAAAAGGTACATTTAGCTCGGATACCGAGTTTTTTCCGTGTATTTAGAGCTTTTCGGTTGCGGAAATAACACGTTTTCATCTTTTCGATTCAAAGGAGTTGCCATTGATGATGAGAGTTCACCAAATGGTCTCCGCCTGATGATAAAAGACTATTCGTATGCTGTTGAAGGATTGGAGATTTTGCTTGCAATTGAAAAATAGGTGACAAATTATTGTTCGTTCTACTACAAAACCGATGAAATGGTTCGACAAGACCGATGATTGGAGAAGGGCCATGGCGACAAGAAAGACGAGCCGGGTGACCTAAAATGCAGACTCAACAAGACCTGATCGAGTCTTGCACCATTATCATATGGGTGGCCTCGGCTCTCCATGCAGCGGTTAACTTCGGCCAATATCCTTATGCAGGCTACCTTTCAAACCGCCCGACTATAAGCCATCGGTTCATGCCCAAAGAAGGCACTCCCGAACACGGACAAGGTATTCTTGAAAACAATAACAGCTCAACTGTAGACACTCCTTGGAATTTCCTTGATAGAAATCATGTCGAGGCATTCATGCGACGAAGTTTATCTGGGGCAAAGAGACAACACCGAATGGACGTCACTTCAGTAAATCTTGGTTTAAAGAAGAAGAAGAAGAATTATCCATACATTTATGAAATTAAGAGGCTATTTATAATTAGAAAAAGAGAGGCTAATATATAATTCAAAAATAATTTTAGTACACAAAAATAAATCTAGAATTATCCATACATTTATGAAATTACCCTTGAAAATAATTACGTGTAAAAGTTTTAAAAAATAAAATAAATGTAGTCCTCAATTAAATAATTTTATTGAGTCAAAATATTGTTTGACTAGTTTTTAATATGTTTTGAATAATGAATGTTGGGTAAACCTAATAAAAAAATTCAGAATGATAATTCAACGCTTCATATTTAATGATTCGACTGCACTAAAATTTGATTCCACACATTTAACGGGAAATTTTGTTTAAATTTGTATTGTAAAATTTTTTAATTCGAATTTAAACCTAATTATAAACAATCAAGTTTAAAGTATGAGAATTATATATATATCCTGTTACACAAAGTAGATCTCTTTTAGTTTTATATAAATTTAAGATCGTTTGATTAGTAAAAATAAATAGTTGATATTAATAATAGAAAATAAAAAGATATATACAGGAGAAAAAAACAAGAGTCAATCTTATCTATCTATTTTCACTCATCCAACGGTCTTAAATATATATAAAACTAAAGAGTTTTATATTATGTAACTGGATGCTAAATATATATATATATATATATTAGTCCTTGAATTTTATTTTTGTAGGCACGAGAATATCAAAATAAAATTGGGGTTGAATTAATCTAGAAATGTTTGACCGTAGTGAATATCTACTATTATTTAAAACAAAATGTGGATTTTGTCAAAGATTCTTTTATATAAAAATATTTTATTTTTACATGGTTCTCCAAGTATAGGGGTGATCAAAATTAAAAAAAAAAATTGTTATAATTGGGCTATCTTCTTATATGCAACGTAATGACAGTCCAATTAATTCATTGTTAATTCATTTACAACAACGTTGTTTCATAATGATTATTAAATAATGTCCTATATTGAATGCAAATATCTTATATAAAAAAATATATTTTTGAAATTTTACTTTATAAAAAATTATAGATAAAATAATAAAAATTTTATATAAAATTATGTGTCACGTGTTTGCTCTTTAAATAATATATTTTTTATTTTTTATTTAAAGAATATAGAAAAATATTAAAACACTCTTATAATAGTATTAATTATAATTTTATAATAATATTAATTATGATTTATGAAAATATTTTTTTAATTATCTTTCTGATTGAGGTAATAATTGATAATTGATGATATTAATTCAATTAAACCTTTAAATAATTGTAAAAAATAATGATACATCAATTTACTAAGTGATCTCAATAATTAAATGAATATTTTTCCCTAAAGATTTCGAGTTCAAAAGATTATGTATGCATTATATATATGCATTATCAACTATAAGAAAGACTCTAAATATATATATATATATATATATATATATATATATATATATATATATATATATATATATATATATATATATATATATATTACTTTATAATTAGTTAAACTATTAAAAAAATAAGGTGATTTTACCGAAATATCATCCATACATGTAATAATTACATGTCAGACACACTTTTTCCTAATATTATCGATCTAACACCCTTTCTGACAAGGCGCAAATAGTGATCCGTGCCTTCGCAGGGTTCTGTCTGAGCTGACACCATGTAACGGAAGACACAGATCGTCATATATGCCTTAGCTGAACCTCTGACATATACGGAAGACACAGATCATGAAGCGCGCCTTCCATAGATCCAATCATCCCTAAAAACATTTTAAAAAAATATGCTTTAAAAAATAAAAAAAAAACTATAGGACTAATATCGTAATTTAATATATATTAGTTCCATGAGTTGAAGAGCTTAATGGGGTTAGCTTATATAGGCATATTAGAGTGCATATTAGAGTGTTTGTTTAGGTTATATTTCTTGAGAATGTGGGATAAAAGTTAAAATGTGTATTCCTTAACTTTTTTTATCTATATATCTAATGAATTTACTTATACACTATTGTTAAATTACATTAGGTTAATATTTATTATTAAGGTTTATATTAATTAAGATTAGATATTTTTATATTTAATATATAAAACTATGACAAGTATAATTTTATTTTTTACTCAGTTAAAAGTAGGTTTTGTATATATATTTTTTTATATTGGTACCATTAAGTTTTGTTATGAGATATGTACCATCGTCTTCTTCGATTAATGTTCCTCATATGATTAGTTGCATATAATGAATTTGGCAAATAGTAATTACCATTAGTTAATGCTTAATTTGGTTCATATATTATGTACAGAAAGAATATGGCGATAACGAAATTTATTAGGTGATTGAGTAATCAAATACATATAGATTTTTTATCTATAAGTTTGAATCTTGATACTTAGTTTAAAAAATAATAATAAATCGTATTACGTCACTCACAACTAGCTGCTTGTGGATGTCATTTAACCAAACCTAATCATTTTAAGTTATTCTTATTTTCCTTTTCAAAAGATTATATAATATATGCATATTTATGTGTGGAATAAGAGAAGACGAATTAGTCCAAATTTCTATTCTCATCATTGGAAAGTAAACCCTTTTGATGTTAGCAAAAAATAATAAACAAATACAATTATTATATTTACCATCATTGTCCTCTTACTTGGATATTTGTTTGTCTTTTTGCTTACTAATATTTCATTAATTTTCTTTTTTTAGCATATTATAGATGTTGATAATGCATTATTGCATTCAGCAGAAGTATGTATGCATTATTACATTCAGCAGAAGTATGTATGCATTATTACAAGGTTAACAATGAATGTTCAATAATCTTTGTAGTCGTTGGTGTTTGAACTAGTAATTTCTAAGAACAACAATGATTTTTTTAACCACTGAAATAAGTTGATTCATGCTCACTTTTAAATTTCTTAAATTAACTCCTCTCTATTTATCGAAATCAAAATGCATATAAGATATATATATATATCACAATATATGTTGATGATATATTAGTAACATGATCTAATACTAGGTAACTAATCAATTATTTTTCACTTTTATTTTTTTGGGTTGATGTAAGGTAACTTAAAAATTAAACAAATAATATTTTACCAACTTCTTTATTACATTTATATGTATATAATTGAAATAAAAATGTAATGAAAATGATCGAAAACAACTCATGGAAACATTACCTAAACACATTGTCAAGAAATACACATTTTAGCTTTTATCCCACATTGTCAAGAAAAATAATCTAAACACTCCAATATGCCTATATAAGCTAACCACATTAAACTCTTCAACTCATGGAACTAATATGTATTAAATTATGATGTTTAGTCCTTATGATTTTATTTTTTAAAATTTTTTAAAGTATATTTTTTAAAATACTTTTAGGAATGATGTAGACCTATGGAATGTGTGTTTCATGATCCGTGCCTTCCGTATATGTCAGAGGTTTAGCTAAGGCGCGGATGACGATTCGTGCCTTCCCTTACGTGGCGCCAGCTCGGTCAAAACCCCACGAAGGCGCGCCAGCTCGGTCAAAACCCCACGAAGGCGCGGATGGTGATCTGCGCCTTGTTAGAAAGGGTCCTAGACCGACAATATTAGGAGAAATAGTATTTGATAGGTAATTATTACATATACAAGTGATATTTCGATAAAATCGCCAGAAAATAAGAATCCAATTATTAAATTTTGGATGAAAATTTCTTTTAGCCATTTCTTTTGGGAATTTATACATCCTATTAAGTAATTTATTCTCACTCTATTATTCAAGCAAAATTTTCTCAAATCAGTGATAATCCACATTTGGTGTTGGATGGATTTTGAAATTTAATTTTTTTTATTAATTATTTATTTTAATGATTATATCCATCATAAAAATTTTTTTGTACTCATTTCATATAATAATCCTATGTAATTAATATTTATATACCTCATCTCACTAGTTGTTTAGATTGACATAATATTTAAATCAATCACTTCATTGAATATCATCTCAATTCACTAACAATTAATTAATTTAGTGAGATGAGATACTAAATAAAGTTAGAGGTTCAAATATTTACATTTATAAATGAAGTAAATTGAATTGAGAGAATTACCCCCACAATATAAAATTTGATTTAAATTAATCAATTAATAGATCAAATATTAATAATTTAAATGCTATACCCGTAATTCATTGAAATTTTTTATCTCAATCTATGATAATATTGAATATTCCAAAAATAACTAATTCATTATCCCAACTTATTCAAACCATGAGATGGGTTTGGTGTCTTGTCCAGTCCACTTGTCACTCTCCAAGCAATGTGTAAGCCCTTTTTCTTCTTTAACCTTCCCATAATTTTTCTCAACTTCCTTTATATTATTTCCTACTTGAGATATACGCTGCTCCGATACGGTCCAACTTGTCTGCTTTTATTACTACTTAACTAGATCTAAACTCCACCGCCCACCACCCCAGCCCGACCCTCGTTCCACTGCCATGGATCCACCACACTCCTCCGCCCCAAAGCTACGACTAATGTGTAGCTACGCGGCCGTATCATCCCACGTCCCCAATCCAAATCATTTTACTATTTGGGAGGCGAAAACCGCTTACTCACCATCCCCACTACCGACAACTCCTTCACCACGCTTACACTTTCTTCCCTCACCACCCACCTCTCCACTATTATCCGCTTCGCCACGCCGTTTGTTCTCAAATACCAACTCCCGAATCACGACCTTGACTCGCTCATTTCCATCTCAACCGATGATGATCTACAAATCATGTTGGAAAAGCACTAGAGTCTCTCTTCTAGCTCTACTGCTGTGTCTTCACGTATCAGGCTGTTTCTTTTTCCTGTTGGCAATGGCGATAAAGCTGATTTGACTTATCCGAAACGAGAGAGTTGGTTTGGTGATGCTTTGAGGAGTGCAAGAGTGGGGTTTGGAGGTGAAAATGGTGAACAGGCTGAGTCTATTCATTTGGAAACTTCTTCTTCTTTTGGTTCTACTTCTTCTTCGATTTCTTTGTCCAATTTGCCTCCAATCAAGCACTCGCCTGATTCAATGCCAAGGTAATAGAAACAAATATGTCTTTATATATAAAAAGAAAGGAGCTTTATAATGTAAATGTGCATTTTTTTATATAAAAAATCTGTTTTTGATCCATGGTTCTGGTTCTGTTTCTTTTTCTCTTAGAGGCAGCTAGCAGCTTAATCGTTTGATATTTTTCCTGAAAAAAGGGGATCCCGGTAAAGGAAATTTGGGAGAGATTTTGGCGATTTCTATTGTTTTGATTCGTTTTGGCTAATTATGGAATGAGCTCATTACTACTTAATTGTTGGATAAACTGTTGTTTCAGAGGCTTAATAGGATAGGAAATGCTTGAATGTCATGTTTAGTGTTCAAATTGAAGAATTTAACTTTGAGAATCAAATTTATAACTCGAAAATTTCTGGTTAAAGTTGTGGGGATTAGAAGCAACTTCGATAAAGTATTAGTTTAATACAACAGAGCTGAAATGGCACTGCTTGTTGCTTTAGTTTGACCGTTTAAGTTTAACTCGATACATGTTCAAGATGAATGGTTTCATAATTTATGCTTCCTTTGACCCTGAAATATTGTGTCATTCCAACAGCGATGAAAATATTGGGAATGCTGTTTCTAACCTACAGACTGGAGCTTTCCAAGACCAAGTCGGCCACATTGCTTCAATGGATAACATGCTCTGTTCTAACCCTTTTGAATTAGAAAAGAAATTTACTGATCCTTCCTCTGGGTTTGAGGTGCACAAACCAATTCATGCTTCCGGATTTCCGGTAAATCTGATGCATTTACCTCAGCGGCAAACACAAGTAATTCACGAGGATACTCATTACTTGCCGAGCATGCCTGGAACACGGCCTGTTATGTCATATTACCCAGTCTATTATCCGGAGCCACAGCAGCTCCATTATCAGCCAAATCAGCCTTATCCAATGTATTATGTGCCTGTTGCACCGACTCAGCCCTACAATATACCTGTGCAAAACGGTATGGTTCAAGCAACGAATATCGGTGCTGGTCAGCCCCAAGCTCTTCCAAATGCTTCTTTGATTCCAACTCAAGTGGTTCTTAAGGAGGTTGCAGCAGCACCTCAACCTGTAGCCGACTTATCCTCCCAACAATACCAAAAAATTCCAGCAGCCCAACAACATATTCATGTATCTCATACCGAAACTGAAACAAGGTTTGCAGGGGCTCAAATTCAGCACCAACCTAAATCACTTGGTGTCGCCGCTGGTGAAACTGCGAATCACACTAACAAACTTGATGATGACCCTGCTCGTGTCCAAATATGCAAATCTCAACCAACCCCACCAATGTTGACTTCACATTATCAAACAATGACAAAAACTACGACATTGCTTTAGTCCGACTCACTGGCGAAGTTGCATACAGACAATGCTGAACAACAGATTACAGCACTGGAACCGTAATGATTTGGTTCTCCATCTGGGAAAACAATTTTGGTAGGTGTCTCGGTAACTTTGTAGTGGTATGATTAGCTTGCCTGCCATATAGATAGACAATTTGGTAACTTAATTTCTTTTGTTTTTCTTGGATGTTCTTGAAATTATAGTGTTCCAAACAAAGTGTTTTATAGTTTGAATTGTCTCTCCATCTTGTTGTTTACTCGATGAGGGTACAAGCACCTGTCTTAAGAAAAATCATACAATAGACCACAAATTTTTATCAATTTTCATGTCATTAAAGGTGGAAGGAAACAATGGAAAATAAGAGAAAAGGTGAAAATATGGACTCACCTAGAGACATTAACAAATATATATTTATTCTGCTAATGTTCATAGTAAGTGATGAATACATTCTTCTAAGAGAAACTGAAATGAATATTTCATATATATAGAAATTTGCCTGAATGTACTCCCTCAGATCAAATTGATGCTGAACTTATTATGAGCTCCTCTTAGCTTAATGAAGTCAATTTCTCGAAACTATAACTCACAAACCTCATTGAAGGTCTCCTATCAGGATTCTTATGGGTACAGGCCAATGCAAGCTTGAATATGGCGCTTATATTGTCTTCCTCGCCCCATCTATGAGCCAAGGAGGGATCAATGAGGGACGAGAGGGGCTTCTTTTCATCGATCCCGAGTTGAAGCCATTGAACCAGATCGATCTCTGAAGACCCTACTTGAACGCTAGGCAACATTCCAGATATCATCTCCAATAAAATCACTCCGAATGAGTAAACATCCCATTTCTGTGATGGTTTCGTGTCATTCAAGGCTTCCGGTGCTCGATAATATGATCCGTTTGAAGATTGATTTATCGCTGTTAACTCGTATGGAGAACTTTGTTGTGATGTCCAGATTGCCATCTTTTGCTCCACCTGGAATTCCGGTGATTCATCGGTTATGTTGGTGAGGCGACCGAGTCCAAAGTCGGAAATATGAGGCTCCATATCTTCACCAAGAAGAATGTTGCTTGGCTTCAGGTTTCCGTGGACGTACCTTTTCGGACTGACTTCGTGTAAGAAGGCTAGTCCCTTGGCTATTCCTTTCATGATTTTTACTCGAACCGGCCACGAAAGTGGTTTAAAGGGGAATCCCGATTTCCCTGATTATATTAGAACAATCATCATGGTAAATCCTAGAACAATATGGAAAATATTTAGCAGAATTTAGTAAGTTACCATGAATTGCTGCAGTAAGATTTCCGTTGGTTATGTAATCGTATATGAGCAGTTTCTCATCATCCGAACAGCAGTAAGCTCGAAGGTTAACTGCATTCGGATGCCGGATTTTCCCTATTGCTTCGACTTCGGTTTGAAACTCCTTGAGTCTTTGTTCTCCTCCATCTCCTAGTCTTCTAACTGCCACGGCTAGTCCATTGTCGAGCACCACTTTATACAGAATCCCGCTTGAACTCTTCCCCAGAAGAAAAGCAGAAGCTTTAAGAAGTTGTTCAAGATCGAAGTCGACCTCAGTGTCTAATGGAACAAAGTTGCATTGCTCCATGTTTTCTGATAGAGTATCAATGTCTTTTTTTGCAAAGCAGAATATGTCCCTCCCGATCATCAGTTTCTCTTCGAGACGATAGCCGGTGACTTTCCTAACTCCGTTGCAGACGGAGGCCTTCTTGTACCAATAAGAGAACAAGAATCCAATGAAGCAGACTCCTCCCATCACAAATGCAACGGTTTTAATCACCCGATGTGAGCTCGAATGACCTTTCCCACTTTTTATCGAGTTTCCATTGGTACTCTGAACTGGATTACGAAATAATGACTGAGAATCTGCATTGGAACTGCCTGAATGACATGAAATTTTCAATGGCAATCCACAAAGAAAAGGGTTCCCCATGAAAGCTGTTGGTCCCGCATTTCCTAGAGCACCATTCTGTGGTATCGGACCGGTAAGATTATTGTAACTGAGATCAACATACACCGTTTCAGAGAGACTCCCTAGGCTTGCTGGAATCACACCAGTGAAGAAATTGTGAGATAAATCGAGAATACCGTGCAAATTTGACAAGTTTCCGATGTCACCGGGGATTGAACCGCTGAAGCTGTTGTAAGAAAGATCGAGCTTCTGAAGGTTAGCTAAACTGTCTCCAAATCCCTCAGGGAGTGAGCCAATGAAACAGTTTTGACTGAGAACAAGTGTAGTTAACCTTTTGCATTGAACTATAGATGAAGGTACCGTGCCATTGAAGGAATTCTGTGAAATATCCAAGGTTTGTAGGTTCTTGAGGATCCCAACTTCGGTTGGCAGAGGTCCATACAATAAATTACCAGAAAGTTCCAAGCTCTTCAGCCTAGTTGCAGAAAAGAGCATGGTAGGTAAAGTTCCACGAAACGAGTTATTCTTGAGGTTAACATGACGAATCGAAGAGAGATTTGCGAGTGCAGGAGAAAGATAACCGGATAGTCCCATGTTTGGAACGACAAGAGCATGAACTTTCTGGTTTCTACATGAAACTCCATGCCATGAACATGGATTTGGATCTGATGAGTTCCAGTTGATCAGATAGCTTCCGGTGTCACCTTCGAGCGATTGGTGGAAGGACAAAAGAGCAAGACCTTCATCATTAAGAGCAGACAAGCGAGCTTTGTGATTGCATACAAGGAGAATCAACAAAAACAACAATGGATCCATTAAGTTAAAAGTTATGATTCAGGAAAGATTTTGAGAAGAAAATGCAAGTTTTATTAATGAAAAATGAGTTGTGATTTGTCAAGTGTTGACTGGTGAAAACCCCAAATACACTTTAGCTTTTATGAATCGACTTATGGAAGTTAGTTTAACATAATGATGATTGAGAAGAGATTTGTTGACAAAAAGAGAGGGCAAAGCGTGATTGGAGGCGATGATCATTCCATGAATGTGGGTTCTTAGATTTTGGTAGGGACGGACTCATCGCTTTTCAAGTTTTGATTTTTGGCTGCATTTTCATATTGGACTAAACAAAACTATAAATTGGTTTAGGCCTTCTAGATGAGGTTACAGAATGTGTATAATGGAGTTAAGGTGGCAGATTAATTATGGAATTTGTGGAAACAAGATTAAAACTATCTCGTCTTAGTATTACGATGATCTCGAAATTCATTTCATCTGTACGTCTCATTTCATATAATATATTTATATGTACCGATTAAATAAAGAGAAACTAATTTTTTTTTTAAAAATTGAAATATATATTTTAAAAACTCCCACTACATATGAAATATTATTTCAATTATCATCGTATTTTAATAAAATGTTATAATTATTTAATTGATAAATTAAAATATAATTCATAGAGTAAGTTAACAAATTTTAAAAATAAAATCCTTAAATAAAATATTTAAATGTAAATAATATCTCAAATACATCATAAATGTCTTTAAATATAATATAAGTGTACATTTTTCGGAAACTTATCAGTACATGCAATATAAATGTTATTAAAATTAATTTTTTAAAACGTTTAGTTTTAAATATACTTATTATGTATATATTAATTTTAAATATAAAATTATATTGATTTATGGCTCATCGATCTAATTTTTATTTTTATTCTCGTATTGATATTATATGATTGACTGTGAAACAGTACGTAATTACTGACCAATCTTGAGAAGCCACAGACATCAAGGATTGGGAACAACTGTTTGGTTCGTTACTTTGGACCCTATGAAACATCGGAACTATCACGTATTCGATCTCAACTGGGGCAGCCATCAGTACTCGAGCAAGGCAAAAGGCTACAAATTGGGGGGCATTCGAGCCAAGGAATCAGCTGTCAAAGTAAGCAACGCTAGTGCCACGCAAAGGACACTCAAATGGGAGGCTCCAACGAATGGATGGGTAAAAATCAATACAGACGGGGCGAAACATCTACAGGATAGTTATCATGTGAGGGAGTTATTAGGGACAATAGCGGTGAATGGGTAACAAGATTCTCTGAAGTGGGAATCAGTTTAATGGTTGAAGCCAAATTATGGGGGTACTCGAAGAACTATCACATTTTTGGAGGATAGGAGCAAGACAGGTTACCATTGAGATAGACAGCACCGATGCGTTTAGCATGCTGCCCCGGAATGCACAAGGACTGACAGCTTCGACTAGGGATGGATGTATGAGTTTATGTTAGTGGAGTGAACTTAAAAAATTTGAAGGAGGGAAAACTAATAAAACTTTAGGAGAGACGAAAACATATTTTCAATATAAAATACAAAAAAAAAATCTAAAATATAAAAGAATTTGAGTTTTTTAGGGGATGTTCACCTCCACCCGCCCCTCTATGTGTCTATCCCTGAGTCCGGCTATCCTGCAATACATATGTGAGCTGGTGAATAAAAAATCAGGTGGTTTCATTCTCATAGGTTAAACGAGGAGTGAATAGGCTAGCCAATAACATAACGAAGAAGGTGCAGAAAGAATATTTCACCGGAATAATATACCAGACGCCTCGAGACGACATCCGTTTGATACCCCAAAAAGATAGACGAAGTCGGATGGCCTGAGGTTCCTTTTATATTAGGTTTATAACGTTATCCACCTCCCAAAAAAAACAAGAAGAAGATGGATTTCCACAAAACCCATCCACTAACAGCCCTATAAAAATTTAATAAATTACAGATTTTACAAAATTCCTATAAACAAATTTAATAGTTACGTAAGATGTTTCGAAAGTTAAAAGAATTATAATTTTTATAACAACTTTAGTAAGGGTAAACTTGTAACATCCCAAAATTCGGGTTAGTGACTAAAATGAGAATTTTTGTAATTTGAGGATCAATTTAAGGAAATTGATAAGTTCAAGAATTTAAATAGGACTATTTCAGTATTGGATTAAATCATAATTATGGAATAAGTAAAGGGCATTATGGTAATTAGTTTAAAAAGATATTTTCTTTCCCTTATTAAGAATGAAACACGTGGGATGTGAAGAGTTATCTAGAACTCTTCTTTTCCTTCTTCATTTCTTCTTCCCGTGGGTTCAAGCTCAAACCTCAAAGGTGAGTTTTAATTTTTATGATTAATTCTTGAATGTTTAAGTTGAGTTTTATTCCTTGAGCGTTATATAAGCTTAAGGAAAACTTATATAAGCTTAAAACACTAAAATGAGAGAATTAGAAAGGAAATTTGATTAAGGGTTGAGAAATGAATTCTTGATATAAAGAGGTTTTTGAAGTTTTAAAGATGGATTTGACTTGTCAATGGGTTAATTAAGAAGTTAAAGGTGATAGAATTGAATTTAGAACACATGGAAAATTTAATGAAATTCTTTTATTCAAGAATTATGGTGGATTATGGGAGATGGTAAAGTGTTATAGTGTTATAAGAAGGTTTATACCTGTATAGATAAGTTTTAAGGCATAAGGAGGGGTTAATAAGTAGAATTTGAGGTCAAAGTAAAAAATTTTGGGCTCAAAATGTAATTTATGGGTGGTATGCATCGATGCATCTTCATTGTGCATCGATGCACTCTCAAATAAATAAACATCGAGTACAGTTGGTGCATCGATGCACATGTTAAAAAATGTATCGATGCACTGAAGAATGCACCGATGCACTTCAATGGGAAATGAAATAAATCGTTATTCAGTCTATGAAATGATATATTAAAGTATATTAATTGGATACTGATAGTATCAATACATGATTATGTAGCCATTGATCGAAAGCAAAGTTTGGATAGGTCGGCAGAGTAAGATACGCAACGGAAATAAGAGTTTAAGAGGGTTCATTGAGACCAGGTGAGTACATGATAGTAAGTGTACGTTATGTTAAGGAATTAAGACTTGTGATGAGTCCAATTCCGATATTATATGATATAAGTATTAAAGCATAAACATGTAGTGATATGGTTTTAGATATATGGTATATGAGTAAATGCATATGTTTAATTTTTGAATGCATTTTTATGTATGAACTATGTAAATGCTTGTATTATGATAATAGGTCATGTGATCATGAAATATATGATAAAATATATATGAAAATAATATGACTCATATGTGTTTATATTAGAATGCTATATGATATGTTAGTATAATAAAATAGATTAGATATTGATAATAAGACATAAGATTATATGCATATGTAATATATGTTAAAAGATAAGAAATAATATGTTATATGCATATGAGAAAAAGGTATATGTGATGTGACCATGTATGAAAAGGATGAATAATGTGAATTTCATGGAAAATGTTACGTGAAAGTAAACTACGTGACTATGTGATCATATGAAATGTGATAAAGAGCTATGTGAAAGAACTATGTGATATGAATATGTGAATGTGTAATGAGGTAAAAGATAATGCCCATATCATGTGTTATGAGAGCTATAGGTATAGTTGGCATGCCAAGAGTCGAGGGTCTACGTGGTCCTTCGGGACATAGTGGTCCTTCGGGACATCTACGTGGTCCTTCAGGATAAATTCTACGCGCCCCTAGTGGGATTTACACGAGCTGTGGTGACAGCATAGTGCACAACCTCTATGTACTCACGTACCTTAAGTTCTCTATAGTGTGCATGGGATTTGAAAAGAAACCATAATTTGATATAATGATATGTATAAGTGATAAGTTAGGATTATATGATAATAATGGTAACAAGTGTATATGGGTAATAGTGATATGAGATGTGATATGGTTATGTATGATATGATCATAGTAATTATCCATGTATTGTTGTGTTTGAAGTTATATTATATGTTTATGTTCAATATATGCTCATATGATGGAATTGAATCAATGATAAGGAAATAAGTAAGGATAAACTGGTAAGTGATGGGTTTAATAGGTATATAAGTATAATATGTGTTATATGGGATGTTCATGCATTTTTTAGTTTACTTTATGTATTTACATGTCTCACTAAGTCTATGACATAGCGTGTAAATGTTTTACACGTAGGTATGGATAAGTCAGAAGATCAAGTTTCGGATCCGTAGAGCAGCATACCTCTGCGCAAAGTTCAGATCAGAAATATTTTGTAAAGTATGTCTTGTCATATAATTTAGTATGTTGGCATGTAACTAAGTCATAATATATATGTATGCTCTGATGGAGTCTGTTAAGGTTTTAAATATGTTTATGTAAAAGAATTACTTTATAGAATAAAAGTTTTAAATTTTCTATGGTTTTTATAAAAGTGTATACTTTGACTGGTCAATGTGACACCTCGGACTCGTATCCGAGTCGGGTACGGGTTGGGGGTATTACATTTAATGGTATTAGAGCTAAGGTTTAGCCGATTCTAGGCTTAAACCGAAGTCAAGAGTATTTTGAAAATGTGTACATGCCAACAAAAAATGAGTTTCTGATCTGATAGAGTTATGAGTATGCTGTCTTCTAATAGAGTTATATTGTTATGTATTAGATGTCTGATCGTGAGAGTCCTCACAGTGAAAGAAGAAGTAATAGACCTGAGGGTAGTAGTAATTCACCTGCCCTGGCCAGGCATGGTGAAGAGTGAACACCTCCAGTAGTACCAGTGAGAGATCAAGGGATATTTTTCGGGACGTTAAATGCTGTTTTGTCACGTTTTCAACCCTCTGCGCCTTCAGCTCCTCGAATGAATATAGCTAAAGAATTGAAAGGTTTAGGAGCACCTGAGTTTAAGGGTGAAGCTGAGGAAGATTCAATTGCAGCGGATCTTTGGTTGAACGATGCTAAGATTATGT